CCATCGCCTTAGGTACGACAACGACGGGATCACCGGTCAGGATGCCGACACCCTGAGGCTGTGTTAAGCCGTCATTGATAGCTGGAGTGGCGCCGTTAACAGCAACAGCATTGCCTCCCGACTTTGTTAGCTGTTGCAGACTCTTTGCTGCCTGCCGTGAGAGGCATTTTATCAACTGTGATTCGTCGACATTATTGCTATCATCGTCATCAAGAACGGCAACAGAAGAAACGTTGATCAAAATCGAACTTTCACGAATCAACGTACTCGCACGTTTGCGGATGGCAGTAACAATGTCCGAGGCTTCCTCTTTACCTGGATGAAGATGTTCATTCCGTAGGTTGAGAGTCGCAGAGGCCTTGTATGTCTGGAAAGAGCCCAAGCAATCCTGGAAATTTCCATAGTACCGAGGCCCGAGGTTGTAGAAAACAGCTATCATGTCATCGCTGTAGGCCTCGTCGAAAAGCATTCCATTGGCAAGAGACCACCGAGAAGTGGAAACGCCTTTTCCGAGACGCATTGCCAGGTCTTGAGGTGTGCCAAAGAATGCCTGCACGCGGGATGGCTTACTCGAATGATGACTTAGAGGAATGGATGGGTATTCGATCTTCAGTTGTTCAACAAACTCGCCATCTATGAAAAGAGATGCACGGGAAGAAGACATTGGCTTTGGTCTCTTTTGAACAACACAGATATGGTACCAGCGATTTTGTTTGAATTTCGCCAACTTGAACCGAACACTGGGACGGGAGCCTCGAATTGAAGTTTGAAGAATAAAGTGACCAGTATCCTTTTCGAGGTAGGCAAGAATGAAACACGTTTGACTTGCATCGAATGCTCCAAAGATAGTAGTATGCGTGTTGGAATCGAACTCGTCGAAACGTGCCCAGGCTGCAAGGGTGTAGCCGGAGGAATTGATAGGAGGGAATGGTCGACCGAGTGTTGCGAACTCGACTGAACAGTATCCATGACGAGACATATCAAATTGGATTGACGGAGGCTCCTTAGAGGATTTGAGAGCAGATAATAGGACTTTTAGAACTTGTGGGTTTTCATGCGCTCGGCGGTATAAGGTGACAGCATCTTCCAAGCTACTCATGCCCTGGACACTAAGAAATTGGGCGAGGTCTTGGTAGATTGCTTTCTCTTTTTCTGACCGCGCACCATCGAATAAAAGGGGTAGGATCGAGGTGAGCATACCAGTGGCATGCAAGGCTACGACGTTCCTCCGAGACTGCGAGGCCAATTGGCAGAGACATGCGGGCAGGGCAAGGCGTAATATATCATATCCAGATGACAAAGAGGAGTGCATCAGCCACACACGAAGGAATGGTCCAAGTAGTTCCGGCACTTCCACTGTCTCGGCCGATCCAATGCAATGATCCACGGCATCCTGGACGTCTTTCGGAGACGGGAAGTCCATATTCTGGGGAAACTTAGCGCTCAGCGTTACAAAAATACCCGAAACTGTCTCCTGGCATAGAGCTGCGGCCAAAATGGCGCCGTATAGATGTTGCGCGTCACCCTCAGTTGTGCCTATCTTCTTGACCAGCGCGGTCAGACTTCGTTCCAGTGCAGCAATACCTCCCCCTACTATCTTTCGAGCAAAATATCGCTTGTTGCCAAAATGATCTTTCAGGCCCTCTGCCAATACACCGAGGACATCTTTGAAGATATCTAACAGGCCTTTTCGTTCTTCCTTTGATTTGTGTACCGGATCGTAGAGCTCGGCTACCTGGTCCGCCAGAGCCAGCAGTGTTTGAAAGCCCTGGAGATATCGGAATGCATCTTTGGCGGTACGTGGACGTGCATCATCTATGAAGGTGTGGCGCAGGCGAAGAAGGGATTCGGTCGTCGAGAGGGCTTGGGACAGAGTAATCGCAGTGCCTGCACTGACGCTCTTGAGCTGTTCAATCGTTGGGGCTAACTCTTCAGCCAATCGCTCGGTCGAGCCGGAAGGGGAGGGAGGGTGGAGGGCCGGCGGAGCCATAGCCAAATCTTATCCACGTCCGCTCCGATGGCGTGTGACCATCAGAGACCGTGAATGTTCAATAGCGGGTACAGCGGTCTGCATTGGTATGTAACAGTGCTAGTGCCAAGATAGGAAGGCTAGCGGTTAGGAAAACTTGCAGCGCTCTCGTCATCAGAGCCCCATATCAAATATTCAGCCACCTCTGTAATTCGCTATCGGGGAGGGGAAACTTGAATATCAGGTGACTCAGTTTGGGGCTGGAGACATCTGGACACAGCCCTGTTATTGTATTGTATTAGAACGGTAAGATACAAAATTACAATCACTGATAGGACATGATAAGAACGATAAGGCAGCTCTGAGCAATGTGGAGAAGCTTGAAAGGTGATCCTATGATGTGTTGGCTTCTCCGCAGATTGGGACAGCTGTATCCAATAATGGAACTCCCATGCAGGACAAGGGGGCAGATACCAGTTGAGTCACCCGAGCACAAAGCACGCGACTTCGGAGGGTGAGTTGCCTTGGAGAAACTGGGCCGTGCGAAGGGGAGGTTGCCTATAGCCTATAACAAGATGATCAGACTTTCCAGGTACCCGGGGAAGGTGACCAACTGCAACACCTTGCTATAGGTGCTTTATTTTACCTCTTATTTGTTCCCCGAAGGTATTTATGTATAAAATCAAGTTAAAATCATACTTCATATAGTAACATATGGCCATATCATATGCGATGACATGTGAACACTCTTTATCTTCCCCAACTTCCAAGGTTCCTGAAACAAGGGTTACCATACCATACAGTATCGGGTACCCCGTTCTCAGTCGGTTCTCCACCAGATCGACATGGACAGGTCATCCGGCGTCGTAACCGTATGTAATGGCCCGCTTGCATCATCGATCCCCCGTCTCCTCCCTAGATAAGCCTCACCTGCTGCTCTTCTCCTCATCTTCTTCCTTCTCCTCTCCATCCAATCTATCCTTCACCCATCCTTTCCAACCTACAATTATTGTTTACCTATTTACCCTTCTTTTTGCCCAGTTAAACTTTCCACTTTGCCCAGTATGAAAGGCTTCATCAGCCTAACACTCCTCCCGTTGTTGGCAGCTGCTTCACCCGTGGCAGTGGGCTCCATTCACAATGACGCCGCTCCTATCCTCTCCTCCATGACCTCACAAGATATTCCCGATTCCTACATCATTGTATTCAAGAAGCATGTTGACTCGAAATCTGCGTCCGCTCATCAAAGCTGGTTGCAGGAGATGCACACCGCTCAAGCCGGTCGGATGGAGTTGAAGAAGCGCTCTCTGTTCGATTATAACTATGAGGCTTTCATGGGCTTGAAGCACACCTTCCAAATTGGTGACTCACTTATGGGATATGCTGGTCACTTCCATGAGGATGTCATCGAGCAGGTCCGCCGTCATCCTGATGTGAGTAATCCTATTCCCTTCCCTCCTTGCGGGAGTTCCCGAGGTCGGCGGCTAATGTAACTCAAAAACAGGTTGAATACATTGAGAAGGACTCCGAGGTCCGTACTATGGCTGATGGTGTCGTTGAGAAGAACGCCCCTTGGGGTCTTGCCCGTATCTCTCACCGTGAAAGCCTCTCCTTCGGCAACTTCAACAAGTATTTGTATGCCGAGGATGGCGGTGAGGGTGTCGATGCCTATGTTATTGATACCGGTACCAATGTCGCACACGTTGACTTCGAGGGCCGTGCTACTTGGGGCAAGACCATCCCCCAGGGTGATGCCGATGAGGATGGAAATGGTCACGGAACTCACTGCTCTGGTACTATTGCCGGCAAGAAGTTCGGTGTCGCCAAGAAGGCCAATGTCTACGCTGTCAAGGTTCTTCGCTCCAACGGCTCGGGTACTATGTCCGATGTCGTCAAGGGTGTTGAATGGGCGGCCGAGGCTCACATCAAGAAGTCCAAGAAGGGCGATAAGAATTTCAAGGGCAGCGTTGCCAACATGTCTCTCGGTGGTGGTAGCTCCCGCACCCTGGATCTCGCTGTGAATGCCGCTGTTGACGCTGGTATCCACTTCGCTGTTGCTGCCGGTAATGACAACGCTGATGCCTGCAACTACTCCCCCGCTGCTGCCGAGAAGGCCGTCACTGTTGGCGCCTCTACTCTGGCTGATGAGCGTGCTTACTTCTCCAACTACGGAAAGTGCACTGACATCTTCGCCCCTGGTTTGAACATCCTCTCTACCTGGGTTGGTAGCGAGCATGCCACCAACACCATTTCCGGTACCTCCATGGCCTCTCCTCACATCGCCGGTTTGCTAGCCTACTACGTCTCCCTGGCACCCGCCAAGGACTCGGCCTATGCCGTCGCCGATGTCACCCCTAAGCAGCTCAAGGCAGCTCTTATCAGTGTCGCCACCGAGGGCACACTTACTGACATTCCCTCCGACACCCCCAACGTAAGTTTTCCCCTCTGTGTAGACGAATATAGATTAGGCTAACCTTATCTTAGCTTCTGGCCTGGAACGGTGGTGGCTCTGCCAATTACACTCAGATCGTTGCTGAGGGTGGTTACAAGGCTGGTGTCAAGGCTAAGGAGCCCACTGTCGAGGAGCGCATTGGCAGCATCATGAATAACGCTGAGAAGGCCTTCCACAGGGAGCTCGGTGCTATCTACAGCGAGATCAAGGATGCTGTCTCTGCATAGATTAGAAGGTTGTTAGGGTTCTGTCAGTGACAAACACAATAACTTGGGCATATGGACGGATTAACACAGGCGCACATCATATTTTCTTTGGCTTTTTTTTTCCCGGTCTTTTGGATTTTCTAACTCGAGTCTGCGGGTCTATCCCGCCTCTACGTTCCTATACACAGATTGTTTCTTGCTATTTTGCTATTTCGTTGATTGATTCACGTAGTATACTCGTCTACAACCATAAGTTCAGACTGATTTAGAATACGTTTTGATTCATCAAACCAATGATTTCTCCAGCATTGCACACTATAAAATATGTCCCAATAGGCCCTTAGCGATTACATGGTAGTCGTACATTCAGGCTCTACAGCACCTCCTTAATTTGGCTTATGTCGGCTTGTTTCTCCAAGCCCCAACACCACTCACTTGCCTTGTCAGTCCGCTCTTCTCCCAGAATCCCAACACACTGGTCAACGAACTTTGCTGTCAACTGTTCATTCGTCATGGGGCGCTCCAAGCTACCCACGGCATAATCGATATGCTTCTCAATACTAGCCCCTCCCCTGACTTTCACAACAAGATGACACTCATCAGCCCGTAAACTCTCATCAGGAACCGCTCTAAACCGACCCCTCAATGCCACAACCCGCCTATCAAGTACAACATCATCCTCATACTGCGCTGGTGTAGCCTTCCCTAACAACAAACCAACCGCACCACCATGATAAACACTAAACTTAGCCTCCAGTCCATCCCTCGGTGCCGTCTTCCCCGTCAACTCGAGAACAAGCGGATGCACATCCACAACAACCTCCTCAACATCATCAACCTCAACCCCAACCCTCTCCAACTCCCCATGCAACCAAACACACCCATCAATAACAGGATGAACAACAATCCCACAAGGAAACGGCTTAAAAGCATCCCTCACAATCTCCCACCGCTCCCCAAGCCCCGCAATCTCCTCTTCAAGTCTATGATTCCCCCCAGAACAAACAACACTAGCCCACCCCCTCTTCGCCTCCAATGCCTCAACAGAACTCGTAAACCCCTCCCGCGCAAGCAAAGCAGCAACTAGCCCATTCTGCGCCGCCATCCCTGGATGAAAAGACTTCGCATGCGACCCGAACATCTCCCGAAGCCCAGTAACCTGCGTAGCGGCAAGACCAATCGCATGAGCGACCTGTCCAGTCTCTAGCGAAAGTAACTTCGCCGCAGCAACAGCAGCTCCAATTGACCCCGTCGTAGAAGTGATATGCCAGCCGATATCGTAATGCCTTGGCCAAACAGCCAGGCCGATTTTACACTCCGCTTCAATACCAGCGACCAGCGCGGTTATGAATTCCGCTCCGGAAACGGGGCGCGGGAGGGTTGGGATTATCGCGAGAAGGGCACATGCGACTGGCCCTGTTGGGTGGATTATTGTGTCTAGATGCGTGTCGTCGTAGTCGTGGACGTGTGAGGCGATGCCGTTGAAGAGGGCTGCGTGCATGGCGTCGGTGGAAGTGTTGGTGCCCAGGAGGTGGGAGGTTGGGGGTCCTGAGAATGGGGATAGAGCTTTGCGTGCTTTTGTTGTTGCGGGGTGTTCGCTTCCGCCTACTATGCAGCCGGCTATGTTGTAGAAGCTTCGTACTGCGGCATGGATTACTTCTTCTGGGAGGTCGGGGTAGGATAATGAGACTGTCCAGGCGGCGAGGGCTTGAGTTGCCATTTTGGGATTGGTGGTTGGTTTCTGTTTTCAATATATTATTCAGGATCGGTGGTTAGGTTTAGTGAGTAGGTAGATATAGTTGTGGTATTGGGATGGGTGTGTCCGATATAGGAGCTATATGTACTTTGTACATTCTTCGGATTTAAGGGCGGGGACAATGTGGGGGAGGAGAGTCCACTTTTGTTCGGCGGGGGATTTTATGGTTCAAATGAATCGAATAGTGTAGCGCCAATGTGGCTAAAAGTTTGACTAGAACATTAAACATGGATATTAAAATTTGATTTCATTTCGCTAAAATATCTGTGGAACACTAAAAGCAGGGTATTGCATGTTATCATAAACCATAAAAGACCCATAATGCTTGAAAATGATCCCGCTGAACGCCGATCGTATGAAATATCACAAGGGTACGCCGAGAATGCTGGAAATGCGCGGAGAAGCAGACATGGAATGGCTCATCATGCGACAACTCCTTGGACAAAGGTAGGCGAAAGTCGTCCTTACACCTTCGTCTCTGCGGAATCCTCATCGGCCGACTCATGCTCGTCCAGATCTAGCTCACTGCCGCTCGACTGTTCCATGGCGAGTTCGTCGTCAGAGTCACTGCCACCGAACACATCGCTGTCGACATCGCTATCGGCCCAGAAGTCGTCATCTTCCATGTCTTCCTTCTCCACAGGCTCACGGACGGTAGAAGCGTGGGTGGGCATCTCGAAGCCGTCGGGAATATCGAGCTTAGACTTCTGGACATCGGCCTTCGCAATCCGGCGATAGAGGTCAGGATCCTTGCGAAAGATAACGGCGGCGTCGACGTTCGCGGGGGAGGACGGCTCGGCATCGTCAAGCAGGGAAAGAATGGAAATCAGAACCGACTCAACCCGCTGGGCAGGGGACCAGCGCTCCGAGGCAAGCTCACCGGACATCGAATCCTCGCCAGGCGCGTGGAGAATGGAGATGCAAAGCTTGCCATTGCTGTAGATGTTCGGGTGGTGGAGGGGCTTCAGGAAGCGGAACTCTAATGATAAAAAAAAAATCTTGTCAGTCACATTGAAATATCAGGAGAAGAGGAAGATATCATACTGGGAGGAGAGTAGGGATAATTGAACGGGAAGGTCATGGAGGCTTTGAAGTATCCGCCGTAGTACATTGAGTCCGGGTTGATCATGATCAAAGCGACATCCCAGTTGAAAATGTCGTCATCGTGCAACTACGAAAAATATGTCAGGAATTTGCAAATACAAATGCAGAAGTGCCAGAAGACACTCGATAAGGAAAGAAAAATGAACGTACCTGGACGTGAACCCACTTCTCTTTGAGAAGGGTCTTGAATTCGTTCATGAGGATGCGTTCCGCCATGGTGATCACAAACGGAAACGTGCAGACGTTGTGCGTAAGAAGAACTCGCGATAAATTTTGAAGGGATCTATTCTTATATAGATAAAAAAGGGCGAAGGCGGCAACGGTATGCGGATTGAAGCCAAAATCGTATTCAGTCGAAAATGTCAGGTGTTGAAACAATGATGTCGGGATCACGAGGATCTGGGGGCGAGACCTGGGCTACTAGGCCTATTGAGACCAACGGGTGCCTGAAAATTCGGTGGCGACCCTGACTAACAGTCGGCGTCCGATAGGCGCCCGTCGTGGTCCTATTGCGCCACCTCCGATACCACCTGGGCAATATCGAAGTCGATTTCTTGATGTAACAATGCTGAGATTTTCTTTAATTCAATTTTCTATTCCGTTCTCTATACCTTATGTAGCCTTCAATAATATATTTTCCAGGATTTCTTTTGGTTCTCCCAGCTATCAAATTAAAAAAATATCTAAAAAGGCATTAAAAATTACATATAAAACGATTGTTAAAGAAGATTGATCTTCCAAATGAATCAGATTCTTCCAAGGTTGAAATACATCGTTACCTAAGGATAGAGGCAGCGGCCAACTATGTATTCGTATTCTATATACTGAATTCCCCGTACTTATTCAATTCGTGCGACAATTACTCATTAGTCAACGGAGTACTAGTGATGTGATTGATTCATCATCGAACGGCCGTGGTCTTACTATATAAACCACTCGAATAGGTACGGATGTGGACTCTTCTTTGATCCATGCAAGGACATCGAGATGTCAATACATAATAGCCAGTGTTCAGGTGGAAATATCCTTGGGAACTTGAGTGGAAGGTTGAATGAATCATCTCCATTCGGCTCCAGGCTCCGCATGGACGCAACACATTCGAGACTGAATATATTTGGAAGTTGAATATTTTGAGTCTATCATCAATTTACATTCATAAGAAGTTGGGCCAAGACTTCAGTTGTACTTTTCCTCCAGTTGTAAGAAGGTCGAATATGCCGTGTGATTGTATAGGGCCTGGCGTCCTAGCCCTAGAAGACAGCAGAACTTGTTCACACTGTCAACTCTGGCGTTGGTGCCACTATTTATGGATATGCTGTTACGGCTGGTTAATTACCCTAAGGACTTGGAAGACCTCTTCCCTCTATCAAGTTAAGCTACGCAGCTTCCGGGGAATTTCATTCTTGTCCATAAATTTCGCGATCATTACTCACTACAAGCGGAGAAGAAGAAGACAGTGGAAGGCAATATGGTCCTCTAATATGACCCATACAAATACTGTCTAACGACGATGAAAGAATGGAATGCGAAAATCGAGGCTTTTCTAACAGCGAAGGGGCAGCGATGCACCACGGATGAATTATTGCAGCGATACCCCCAGGCGACTGAATGACTTCTTCTTCTTCTTCTAGACGAATGTTTTGCTATGAATCATTAATATGTATGGTCAACAAAAACAATAATGAAATAGTTATGGAGTGTCTCAATTGATGCTTAACTAGTGGTTCTTCTAGGGTTTAGACCTTCGGCCCAACATTCGAGACAAATGATGAACACTGGAACGAATCAGCCTATGACCATTAATGTATAGAAGAGATGCCAAAATTATTATCTCAGTGCCAAGTCTGAGCTTGTGCAACTTTATTTTACAAGGAGCCACCTACGAGCTACCTAGTATATCCACCTTACTTAAACCGTATGATGTGCATTTAAACTAGAAACCATCAATACTTATAGTAACATCTAAAGCTCTCTTTAGGTCATCCCCAAGCATGTAAGTATAAACTGTATTATGATCCATCAAAGGAGTATTGGAACAATTATTCCAAGTTGACTCAGTGGCTACATACTATTACCTATTTATCCCTTCATAGTCATGTGATAAATTTGCCATCGAGCTCTCTGGAGGTTCTGACCAATTTCCATCTCTATTAGTAGTCTTGTGCTTCTGGATTCAATATTAAGACAATAACGTGGTCTGCATAGCGATGTTCCAAAATATACTTCGTCATGTGCAGGCCCCCGCGCTTAGCATCTCACGTCACCCGAATCGCCGTTCTTTCTCATATGTGTCTAGACACTCAGTTTTTCCAGCAAGCTTGTATCGATTTCAAACACACCGCCACTCGAGGCTTTATGACAGAGATTTTAAACAAGGTGACTGGGAATACGAGGATGGAACCGAAGTTGCTGCAGATGGCTTAGTACACCCAAATATAACTGCTGATTGTATGCGAAAACAACTTCACATTAATTGCCTGCTAACCTATTTAGTCTCGAATGGTGCATTATTTATGCCAAATACGCACGATATGCAAAGGGTCACACGGATGTCGAATGATTATTACTTGGAAGACGTAGAAAGTGGTAAACCCGCTGCCGAAGCGCATTATTTATGCATGCCTCAAGGTGATTAAACGCCCTTGTCAAAAATTGCAGAACAAATTTTTCTAACCTGCAAGGCACATCTATTCCAAATTCGTTGATTCTTTTCCGCGAGCATACTTCTCGCTTCTCCCTACAACCTGCGCATCCCATGTCACTGGATAGTATGCTCAAGATAAGTCCTCAAGAGAAAGAGAACTGCTAACATGTAGCAAAGGACTCAACAAGACCCTGACTCGGTTTTACTTCCATTTTGGGCGCACATTTAATCCAGACGCTTGGCTGGATCGGAATCCCTACGATGAGGCGTTTCTTGATAACCAAGAAGAGTGGATGAACCACTAATAATAGTATGCACGGACTGTACATATGTCTTTCGCGATTGAATGACAGGCGCTATACGGAGTACGAGAATCTCATTGTCCATGCGCTTCCGATACCTATACGTATTACAGTCCTCAATTCTATGTAGTTATAACTTTCCAGGATTTAAGTATACTTCGTAAGAACAATTATAAACCGTTTTTCCGCGCGATAAGCAGATTGAAACAGGTCATATAAAATACCCCTCGGGCACCCAAAAGGGTTTAAGTCGATAATAACATTGTGATAGAACTTCCGGGAGTGTATGCAGTGTATGCAGTGTATGCAGAAATTATTAATGGGTATATGGTACCTCGCTCCACCACCAAACTTTGCTGGTGGCTAATGTCACCCTCTACCCGGAGTCCGTCCACCGCCGGTTTTGGAACAATTTGCCATTTTCCTCTCACTTCGAATTTCCCCCACCCCAAGAACCATATATCGACACACACTTGAATATCTTTGGTGGTCCTTGCTTTGCAGAATCCGAGTAGCTCCCGGCCTGCTCTTTTGCTTCAACGGCCCTCGGTCCCGGAACTCTCATCCCAGCGTCACAGTTGATCTCGACTTTGCGATGCCAGCCTTGTCCGGCAATTCAGTAAAATCTTGTTGCTAAAGGGTGGTTCATAATAATCAAATCCCGATCGCATTACCATTTATCAGCGTCGCCAGCTGAAGAGCTGTGTGATCGAGTCGCGCGAGGCCCCGAGAGCTTCAGATCCTGCGAGCTCTGCGGCCAACCATGCTCCCGCATTGTCAAGGCCCCATCTGGGCTATTGACGACCTGTCTCGTTGCTTCCAACGCAGGTTAGTTCACACCAATGGCAATTCCGATCGTTTAATTTTTATGCTGATCACGAAATACCTTTTAATAGCATTCTTCAGGTCGTACTTCCCCTCACCGTCTGCAGCGCTTCGCTGCTGCTGATCCTCATTCGCCTCGCTCATCGACATATCCTCACCCGAAAAGGTGTCGCTTACAAAGTCCTCCCCACCAGTGACTCCGAAGATGATGTCCCCAGCGCGACGCAGGAAAACGAGTCCGATACAATTCTGTCCCAAGCTATACAACACGAACAATCCCAGGTCGAGGTCGATCGCCCGCGTGGAGAGATAGCTGTTGTATTACTCGAAATTGCAGCTTTAATTGGACAGCTTGTGGTATATATCGTCATTTTGTTGACTCATGCCTGGGGCCGACATGGAACCCTTCCCGCCGTGGCTGGGCTTGTATCGTGGGGCTATATTCTTTTCTTGGTGCTGGTCCGGTTCCTCCTATCGAGCATGGATCTTTTCTCCGCGCCGAGACTATGGACACATACAGCATTCCTATACGGCTTCCAGTGGCTGTTCAACATCATGGTCTTCCGATCTACCATTATCTATCCCTTGTCCCAACACGCCCTGATTCTCAGCAGTATTCAGTTCGCTTTGGGTACGGTGCTGCTGATCATCGCACTCACCACTCGCCGAGGCAATAAGCCAGTTCTGGTTGAGCACGAAGATGGATTAGAGCCTCCGACGCATCCCATGGCTAGTTTGTTCTCTCTTGCCACATTTGCCTGGCTCGACCCTTTGGTCATGAAGGGCTATCGCCAACCCCTGGAGCTTCAGGATGTTTGGAACCTGACTCCCTCTCAGAAGGCTGCGAACGTGCTTGCGGAATTCCGCAAGAGACAGATGAAAGGCTCTTTGGCATGGAAGCTGATTCGATTCTTCATGGGGACGATTCTAAAGCAGGGTGCCTGGACAGTCTTCGCCAATCTATTCGTTTTCATGCCTAGTCTACTTCTCAAGGCTATCCTCGAGTACGTCGAAGACCCTCGGTCGACCACGCCCAATGCGGCTTGGTTGTTCGCCATTCTTCTTTTCTGTTGCGCCACAGTCCAGGGTGTGGCAGATGGACAGTCCTTGTTCATTGGTCGCAAGATGGGTGTGAAAATCCGTGCGATCATCATTGGTGAAATCTATGCCAAAGCTCTTCGCCGCAAGGCAGGCGCTTCGGTGGAGGCTCCCCAGAAAGACGTAGAAGACTCAGTTTTGCCTAAGGATAAGAAGAGAAAGCTCTTTTCCTTTGGTCGCAAGAAGAAGGCCGCGGATGGAAATGATACTGAGACTGGCAAAAAGCCAGACCCTATAGCGGAGGAACCCAGTCAAGCCAACGTCGGCACAATCATCAACTTGATGGCAATTGATTCGTTCAAGGTGAGCGAGGTTGGCGCCTATCTCCACTTCCTGTGGGCTAGCGTGCCAGTACAGATCTCAATGGCGATTATTCTGCTCTACCACATCATGGGTTTCAGCTCATTTGCTGGTATCGCCCTGATGGCTCTAATGCTGCCTATCAACCTTTTCATTGCCCGCAAGTTCAACAAGGTCCAGAACCAGATTTTGAAGGGCACTGATGCCCGTATTCATGCCACTAACGAAGTCCTTCAAAACATCCGCATCATCAAGTACTTTGCCTGGGAACAGCGATTCGAAGACATTGTCGGCGAGAAGCGCAGAGGAGAACTAAAAGCCCTGCGCAGGAGATATATCCTCTGGTCCTGTGCTGCAACCGTCTGGTATGGCACGCCTATTCTCATCACGTTCTTGTCCTTCTTCTTGTATACTGTGGTTGAAAAGAAACAATTGACACCGTCTATCGCTTTCCCTGCCTTGTCCATGTTCTCCTTGCTGCGTGTGCCCTTGGACCAGCTCGCAGATATGGTGGCCCACGTTCAGGAATGTAAGGTTTCCCTAGACCGTGTGGACAAGTACCTCAACGAGGAGGAGACGGGCAAATACGATCAAATCATTGATAGTACTGCCGCAGGAACACCTGCCAAGATTGGTCTTGAAAAGGCAACACTATCCTGGAGCACCTCCACTGCCGAGCCCCAAGGTACCGAGTCCGATGCCGATCTGGAAGCTTTCCGTTTAATCAATGTGGACGTCGAATTCATTATCGGCAAGCTTAATATCATTGCTGGCCCCACTGGATCTGGAAAGACGTCCCTTCTCATGGCTATGCTTGGAGAAATGAAACTGCTCGAGGGTCGTGTCCATCTCCCTGGTGGAATGTCCAGCCGGGCAGACCTCCCAGTGGACCCTGAAACTGGCTTGGTTGACAGCATTTCTTACTGTGCCCAGGAAGCGTGGTTGGTCAATGATACCGTAAAGGAAAATATCATCTTCGCTTCTCCCTATGACGAGCGTCGCTACCGCTCAGTGCTGAAGGCATGCGCTCTGGAACGTGACATTGCTATCCTTGATGCTGGTGATCAAACTCTTGTTGGTGAGAAGGGAATTAGTTTGTCTGGTGGCCAGAAGCAGCGAATCTCCCTTGCCCGCGCTATCTACAGCAGTGGTCGCCACTTGCTGCTAGATGACTGTCTCTCTGCTGTGGACTCCCATACCGCTAAGCACATCTTCCGCCAAGCTCTTACTGGTCCTCTGATGTTGAACCGCACATGTATTTTGGTAACACATAACGTTGCTTTGACTGTTCCTGAATCGGATCATGTTGTGATACTTGAGAACGGCAGAATTACCGCCCAGGGCCGTCCCAGCGATGTTGCTGCTACTGGTGCATTGGGCGAAGAGTTCCTCAAGTCTAGACCCGATTCCCGCGCCAGCTCTCGTAGACTCTCTCGTGCCCCGTCGGATCATGAAGCAGAGGACGAAGATCTAAATGGCACCGCGAATGGAAAGGCCCAAGAGGAAAAGGCCAAGCTCTCTGAATCCAAAGCTACCGGTAGTGTCAAGTGGTCGACTGTCAGCATGTACCTCCGCGCCATGGGTCCGTGGTACTATTGGATTGTTGCTGTTCTAGTATTCTGCCTGCAGCAATTGGGTTCTGTTTCGACAAACCTCTGGATCAGACAGTGGGCAAACTCTTACCATACCTCCAAGGCTGGGTCTGAGGATGCCGGCCAGTACGCCATGGTGGCCCACATCAAGTCCCCCACTTTCAACGATGGAAGTGTTGGGCATGTGAGCAGCTGGAGTCTGCCTCAACTTGGCGCAAATTCTACGAGAGAGGCTGATGGCGAGGTGAACGTGGCATATTACTTAGGTGTCTACGCACTCCTGGGATTCCTCTACATCGCAATCTCTTTGTCTCGGGAAGCTGTTCTGTTCTGGGGTTCGCTCCATGCATCATGGAAGATTCATGATCGCCTTCTCAGGGCTGTCATGCACGCCAAGTTCCGATTCTTTGACTCCACGCCTCTTGGACAACTGATGAACCGGTTCTCCAAGGATATTGAGTCCGTTGACCAGGAAGTCGCACCTGTTGCTATCGGCATGCTCCACAGTCTGGCATCTGTGATTATGATTGTCATTCTGATCTCGTGGATCACGCCAGGATTCCTCATTGCTGGTGTGTTCATCACACTGGTGTATACTGCTCTCGGTGCCGTCTATTTGAACTCTTCCCGAGACCTCAAGCGTCTGGAATCTGTGCAGCGCAGTCCGCTGTACCAGCAGTTCGGTGAGACCCTGAACGGTATTGTTACTATTCGTGCCTATGGCGATGGCCCTCGTTTTATGGTCGACAACCACCGCCGTATCAATGCCTACAACCGACCACACATCTACCTTTGGGCTAGCAACCGCTGGCTCGCTCTCCGTGTCGATTGGACCGGTGCTCTTGTCGCCTTCTTCTCCGCCACATTTGTATTGCTGAACGTTGATACGATCGATGCAGGTGCCGCTGGTCTTTCACTCACCTACGCCGTCACATTCACAGAGAACGTCCTCTGGCTTGTGCGTCTGTACTCCGAGGTCCAGCAAAACATGAACTCGGTCGAGCGTGTACGAGAATATCTCGAGGTGGACCAGGAAGCGGCTTCTGTTATCGAAGAATCACGACCTGAGTCCGATTGGCCCAGTCAAGGTGCCGTTGAGTTCGTTAAATACAGTACGCGGTACCGGCCCGATCTAGACCCAGTTCTCAAGGAGGTTTCATTCTCTATCAAGGCTGGCGAGAAGGTCGGCATTGTGGGTCGCACAGGTGCTGGCAAGAGTTCTCTCGCGTTGGCTCTCTTCCGCGGTCTCGAAGCAGAGGCAGGTCAGATCATCATCGACGGCGTTGACATCGGGTCAATCGGACTACGGGACCTGCGCGAGGCAATCACCATTGTCCCCCAGGATCCGACCCTTTTCACCGGAACGCTCCGCAGCAACCTCGATCCATTCGGTCTCTTCAGTGACGAGCAGATTTTCACAGCCCTCCGTCGCGTGCACCTAATCGGCTCCAGCGTCTCAGGCACCGTAACCCCCACAACCTCAAGCACCCTCACCGCGACAGAAATCAACGGCAACACCAACGGTGTGAGCAGCAGCGCAGCAACAGTAGTTGACAATAAAAACATCTTCAACAACCTCGACAGCCAAGTCTCCGAGTCCGGCTCCAACCTCTCCCAAGGCCAGCGCCAGCTCCTCTGCCTCGCCCGAGCCCTGCTGAAGAACCCCCGCGTCTTGATGATGGACGAAGCAACCGCATCCATCGACTACGCCACCGACGCCAAGATCCAAGAGACTCTCCGCGAACTGAGCGATAGCACAATCATCACGATCGCGCACCGTCTGCAGACCATCATCGACTACGACAAGGTCCTCGTCCTCGACCACGGCCGCGTCATCGAGTACGACCACCCCTGGACTCTCATCAACAAAGAAGACGGTCTCTTCCGCGGCATGTGCGAAAACAGCGGACAGATGGATATTCTTCTCGATGGAGCTCAGCGCGCCTGGACCCAGAAGCGTCTTGTTGATGATTCTTAAAGCAACGGCGCTTACTATTGCCCTTTTCTTCTTTATTTCCCTATCTTATAGAATCTCTCGAGTACATATCCATTGTTACCCCACTTTGTCTATTACCTGTTCTTGGTTTCCCCCCGCTCATTCCTCGGAGCGGGGATGCAAAAAAGAGAGAGCGAGAGAGACACATCAATGTAATCATCATTTTCTGGCCCGGAGGGTCGATCATCATTATCATCTATTCCAAGATTATCATGGTTTTCTTCATGGTTACTCCTTACTCTCGCACCGGCGTGGCGTCTTAGTTTGCTTTTTTTTGCGTTCTTTTCTGCTATATTGCCCGTGCACCTGCTATCATATCTTTCCTGCGCTTCTTGTAATCTTACGTCTATTCCATGGTTGGATGGCACATATCGTCAGAATATATGCTTAGAATACAGAATGAGAATGCTTGCGATATTACTTGAGGTTGTGTAGAACTTTGTTTTAAATATATAGTAGCTCAACGAGCTACATGCCGTGTGCTAGGTTTGGCGCTTCCTTACAGTGTAACGATCATCAAAGTATTTGTATCCAGAACAAATGAGCCTACAGTGGCACTTAGATCCGAGAAAACACTGCATTTGGAGATAATCCCAAAGAACAGAATGGAAGGTCTTCAACCTGAACATGCAAGCCCATCTTCATTGCCCAATCTGCTTCTTTACTAGCAAGTTCCAAACACGAAGTGCCTAGGATTTCATTCCGCCCGCATAAACATGTCATCTTCGATATCTCCTCCACTCAAGTGACATCCCCAATGCTTGTCGCGAGTTGCGTGTCGCGAGTTGGGACGGAAAGGTGATTCCAGTTTGATCACGATATTTCAGCCATCACGCAGGATCGACCGTGTCATTCCGGATATACACCGGAGCCCTGATTCCAGAGCTAGCATTTCCCTGTCATTCTCAATGTCCATTGAATCATCGCAATCCCATATCAGGGATGGAGTCGATTCAGTGGGACCGATGCAAGTCCCACAGTAATCAAACAAGCCTCCGACCGAGTGGAGAAAGGGTAGAGACAGAGCTTCCAGGGCTGAATATGAATAACCCAGGGGAAATCACATAGCCCTGGTAGAATTGATGGCTTCTCGTCGTAGAGAAGCAAGAAAAAAAGAAAGAAACGGAGTAAGATAAGCTTCTCAACAAGAAAGTTTTAATCCAACAGCCACATGTCTCACTCTCACTTTTTCGCGCGGATCCCCCTTAGTATGGTAAAGAAGCACACAATCGCAGCCGAGATAACGAAGAATCCAAACGGCGGCCAGTAAATTGGGTAGTCGTCTGATTCGAATGCGTCCACGATAGAGTCTTTCAGATGGGAATGAGAATGAGACTTGGACTTGGACTTCTTCGGCTTTGTGTTTTGGTGTGCGTATCTATCCTGTTTTACCGCTGCATCCGTGCCGATCGCAGGATCCGGATTCGGAAGTGATAGCTGAAGCTCGGTCTCGGTCTCCGTCTCCATTATTTTATGCTTTGATTCGGGCTGCAGCTTGGAAGGAGGGTTTGACGAGGGGACGAAGCCTGCTTCGCGCATGGCGGTCTCCTTCAACATGGCTTCGAGCTCATCTTGATCGGGGAGGGTTTCCGGGAAGTAGTATCGCTTGTTGAGCGTATTGGCCGATGCAAGGGAGTTCGATGCGATGGTGTTTTCGTAGGGAGTAGGAAGGGTCAGGGCGTGGATTAAGTGCATCAATATGAAGACCAGGGCAAGTTTGCCGGCCATCTTGATATGGTGATAACGGATGGGTGGGGATTTGATAAGATCGACACGCTTTTTAGCTCTGGGGGATATGATTATATATAGAATAGGAGTAAGAGAGGAGAGAGGAAGAGAGAAGGTCAAGAATAAAAAGAATAGCTAGGAAGAGGAGCACGTGGAGTCGCATTCGGAGGGTCGCGTGCATAAGACATCAGAGGGAGTTTATGATACATTCATTACCTATATAGTTCCGTAGCTTGTTTAGTATTTAGTGTAGTATCTAGTATTTGGTATTCTTTATGTATTAGGTATAAAAGTCCAGACTCTTATCTTTCGCTCCTCATATATCCGATCAATACTAGAACTATATAGTCCTGGCCAATAGATTATAGCATCATGCACCCGTGTATCTTCCCCTCAGTTAAAATCAGTTCGAAAGCAATTTTTGCCGACCCGAACAAAGCCATGAGTAATTCATGGATACTACAGCCGAATCAAATTAATCTCTCCAATAATCCTCTAATAACTCCGAGAATATCGAGCACGGAGTTTGGTATGAGGAAAGTGCTAGTGGCACAAAAGCACAAGCTTCCCACCAGTGCCAAGACAAAAAGAAAACGCCAAGACAATGCTCCTGTGCCTGTGGTGCAACATCGTAGTTCAAATAACCTTCCAAGATTGCTGGTGTAAGGATTTTGTACTGGAGTTAATTGATACTATTGCAAGTTAAAGAATGCATGAAATTATTCTTCAATACAATCCCATAGCCTGGCTGATATGAATAGCTCCACGTCAGTTTTCCCATGTTTTCTTGGGGAATGGCATTCCGGCCCTTGCTTAGATCATGGTCTGACCGCATAACGCCGTATATGACCGGTTTAACAGCACGCAATTCATGATCCCTGCTGGAGGTTAGGATCGCCGAAGGCTTGGTGTAGTCTGTGTTCTTGCCAATCAAGGACTATCATACGTGGAAAAAGTCGACTGTACAGTTTATGGATTTTTCTGCTTTTTTATCTCACTTTTTCTATTTTCTACCATCTAGCTATAAAACCGAGAGAGGAAAGGAAAATATTTAAAAAGACACCTAGAAAGACATCTAAGAAGAATATCTAACAAGAGTATGACACCATAATGTCACATGCTTAAAGCGGCTAGCTATTCTTATTCTTTGTTAAATGTGCAATGTCTATAAGAGATGTAGCATATACGCTCAATACTAAAGACGGCCACATATGTATACACTTCCAAGCTACGTGGACCACTCGATCTGCAAGAACTTGCGTGATTTGTCCTGATAAACGAGAATATGGCGGTGAGATAGAATGCAGCAACAGGGAATTGAGAATCCTAGGCACTCCAATCATACTCATACAGCTCGTCCTGAATAGAATACTTATAACTTATCGACCTGTTGTCCACGATGAAGTCTGATTGGATGGTTGGATAGCACTTGATTTGGGGTATACATAGTTGGGGTATCTATGTAGGATATAGTACCTGTGTTGGGGTAGACATCCCTGCCAATAAAGACGTGGAGATAGATCTTCACCTGGTCGTTCTATCTTGGCGGCGATAACCATTGATGGGTTAGTCCGCGGTATTGATTTGCCCAAGGTTTAAAAGGTGCTTGACCACAAAAGGCATATAAAATTAACCCGGGTAGATACCATTTTGCGGTCCAATTAAGAAGCCATTAACGTATTCCACTACCGAGTGGGCCACCACTACCGAGTGGGCCACCTATCCAAAACGCGTCAATTAATTTAACCCGTTCTTCTTCAACCACCCACTATGCCACCAATTCGCTCTCAACGCTCTAGAAATTTAATAGAGCAAGAGGGTAGGATCTTACTAGCTATCCAGGCTTTTAAGAATCAAGAAATCTCTTCAATTCGTGAAGTGGCGCGCCGTTTCGAAGTCCCCCGCTCTACCTTATAACGCCGCCTCGCTGGTGATACCTTTCGTCCTGAAACACGCGCCAATAGTCATATATTAACAGAACTCGAGGAGGAATCTCTTCAAAAATGGATACTCTCTATAGATTCTCGTGGAGGGGCCCCCCGGCACTCTATAGTACGAGAAATGGCGGATCTTCTTCTTCAAAAGCGTGGAACTACCCCGGTTCCTTCGGTCGGCGAAAACTGGGTTACGAAATTCGTACAACGGTATCCTCTCCTCTCCTCCCGATTCTCAAAACGGTATAACTACGAGCGTGCGAAATACGAAGACCCAAAAATCATTTAAGGGTGGTTTAATCTGGTTCAAAAGACAATCCTTCAATTTGGAATCGATCCCGACGATATCTATAACTTCGATAAGACTGGTTTCGCTATAGGAGTGATTTCAACTATAAAGGTTATTACGAGAAGTGATTTACCTAGTCGAAGAGGAGTTTTACAACCTGGAAATCGTGAATAGGTGACTACAATTGAGTGTACGAATGCTTCGGGTTGGGCCCTCCCTCTGTGTGTGATTTTTAAAGGCAAAGTCTTTCTTAAATCATGGTTCGAAGGCCTTCCGGAGAACTAGCGTTTCGAAGTAAGCCCTAACGGCTGGACCTCTGATGAAATTGGACTCCGTTAGCTAGAAAAGCTCTTTATTCCTAGTACTTCTTCGCGTACGAAGGGGGGGTATCGGCTTCTAGTACTTAACGGCCACGGAAGTCATTTAACGCCTAAATTTGACGAAATTTGTGAGCAAAATAAGGTAATACCAATCTGTATACCAGCACATTCATCTTATCTTTTACAACCTCTGGATATTGGCTGTTTTGCGGTATTAAAACGATCGTACGGTCGGATAGTTGAAACCAAAATACGGAACGGGATCAACCATATTGACAAGCTTGACTTCCTCGAAGTATACCCCCTCGCACGAATTGAAGCCTTCAAATCGGAGACTATTAAAAATAGCTTCGGAGCAGCCGGTTTAGTCCCCTTTTTACCGGAGAGAGTGATTTCAAAGCTCAATATTCGGCTTCGAACTCCAACCCCCCCAGCTAGCCGGGGTAGTGAATCAAGCCGGAATTTTACACCAAAAACCCCTTTTACAGAGAAAGATCTACGTCGTTAGGCTTCATCAATCAAAGCTTTACTTCGTACAAGATCTCGAAGCCCGCCTAGCCCGTTAGATCGTGCATTAAACCAGCTTGTGAAAGGCTTCCGTCTTACAATACAAGGTACTATCTTACTCGCCAAAGAAAACAAGGAATTACGCGCCGCCAACGAGAAGCAGAAGCAAAAGCGTACTCGATCTCGAAGGCAGATACCCACCGAAGAAGGCCTTTCAGTTCAAGAAGCCTCTGCATTAATTATGCAGCAACAGGAAGCAACTGAAGCACCTCTCCCCGGCCCCGGTATACCTAGAGAATCGGCTATTCAGCCACGTACGCGGCCCCCCGGGGGTGTGGAATATATAGATTGCCAGGGTATAGAAGAGAAACATGTCCAGATAGACCACTTAGTTAGTTCAATTAATTTAATGGCGTTATGGTTGAGATAAATGTATTTAAAATTGGTAGGTTAGATGGGGTGGCCCACTCGGTAGTGGTGGCCCACTCGGTAGTGGAATACGTTATAGTATAGTATACTGCACATTATATCTGTTCACTTCTCCAACATTGAACCAGCCTTCGCAGGCATCAGGGCCCCAGGCGGAGGAGCGTTCTTCTTTTTGAAGTCATCGCAAACCTGCTCCATCGTTACAAATTCAACACCCTCGTGCTTTTTAAAATGTTCAATAAGCCTATCGAGCGTCAGTTATACTCCGCGCAACGTTATCATCACAGCATACCTTTCATGCATCAACAGCACATGGGGTCTTCCCGAAACATCCGGGTGGATAGTAATCGGGAAGATAAACTCATCATACTCGCGATAGAAGTAGTCAAAATGGTCGCGCCAGATATCCTCCACGTCCCGGGGGTTCACAAAGCCATGACTGTTGGGCGCACTCTTGATGAACATCATCGGCGGTAGATCATCAATGTACCAGTTGGACGGGATTTCAACAATGCCTGTCTGGGGTCCATGCTCGAGAGGCTTCATCCAAGTCTCAGCCTTCTGCTTATAATCGATCTTAGTCCAGCTGTCGCCTGTTCGGAGGTAGTAAGCCTGGCAGTCCTCGTGGCTCATGCTGTGGTCATACTCGATGCCATAGTCGAGGAGGAGCTGGGCTCCTTCTTTGCTAGTTTCCCACCTATTTTGTAATTAGCAATGAGCCCCATTTATGAATTTCAAACCAAACACAATCGTACCAGGGTGCCACACTTCCTCGGGGAGGCTTTCCAACAAATTCCGTCAACATCCGATATGTTTTGTCGAGCACATCACGCTGCTGCTCTAGAGTCATGGATGTTGGGTTCTCGTGGGAATATCCATGCAGGCCGATCTCGTGGCCCGCGTCGCGAACTGCGGCCATGTCCTCCGGGAAAGTCTCGAGGGAGTGGCCAGGGATGAACCACGTTGTCTTGATATCATATTTCTTGAACATCTTCAACAACCGTCGGGTTCCAACTGTCCCTGCCCAATATCCTATATGATAATTAGAGAGCGAAATTCCAGAAAGAGGATACTCCAACCTACCCCTGCTGATGTCGTTTGTGGAGTCCTCTCCACCATACGAGCCTAGCCAACCTGCTACAGCATCAACATCCACGCCATAGGTAATTAGAACTCGCTTTGGTGCCATTGTTGGATTGAATAATCAATTGCTGTTCAAACGGATGATCAATTGCTGTTCAAACTTGGAGAGTGGGGTTTTAAACAATTCCCAGTGAATGCGGGGAGGATATGCTTTTCACCCGTCTGGCACATTTCCTACTGGCCCGCAGAGATACGATCCCGCATGACCGTTATCTCTGTTCTTGTGAACTCCCTCCACAATGCTAAGATATCTCCAACAAAATTGGGGTCTGTTAGGTTGGGGTAAGCCGTCATTGTCTCCAGAGTAGACAATGAGACCCAGTTTGATGGACTCCAATATATATACATCGTTGGAGAACCGAAGGATTATAAATGAGGTACAACAACAACGGGGATTTCTCATAAACTGTGACATTCCCCGAGGAAGATATCTGGGGCATATCTAACGGTTTTATAGAGTGATAATGTCGGTCCTTTTCACGAGTATTTCAGAGTGTGTGTTTCGATATTCAGTTATTGCAACATATAATGACAGTTTTTATAGGAGCAACCCTGTCAAGCCGGGCGATGCACAAGCCCTCCTCAAACCATTTGGGCTAACTATCGACCCAGCTGAAGCGCAAGATTTCCAAACCCTTCTTGCAGCAGTCCACGACTGTGCCGAAAGTTTAGCCGCCTTGCCAGACTATCAGCCAGTTTCTGATCAAACTAAGTATCCACGGGAGAATGTGCGTCGACCAAGTGAAAAAGAACAGGTTCTCGGGCAAGCCTGGGCACACCGATTTCTCATCCAGGGTAATCCCCAAGGCGGGCCACTGACAGGTAAATCTGTTAGTTTGAAAGATGTAATTGCGGTTGCAGGCGTGCCGCAACTTCTGGGGAGTGATATCATTCCTTCTTGGACGCCAACTACGGATGCGACGGTTGTAACACGGTTGCTTGAGGCCGGCGCTGATATCCATGGCACGTCGACTTGTGAAAATATGTGCCACTCCACTTCTTCGTACACCAGTGCCCAGGGTACGGTGGAGAACCCGCATGCCAAAGGTTATTCGGCGGGCGGGAGTACCTCTGGCGGTGCAGCGCTGGTCGCTGCTGGTATAGTGGATATTACGATTGGGGGTGACCAGGGAGGCAGTATACGCGTTCCCGCTTCGTTTTGTGGATGTAAGATGTCTCTCTTCCTTGAGGGTTTACGTATGTATCGCGGACTAACCTGCTTGTAGGCGTTGGGCTCAAACCCAGCTATGGACGCGTTCCCTTCACTGGGATTGCTAGCGGCGATGCCATGAATGACCACGCTGGCCCACTATCCCGGACAACATTTGAGACTGCAGTGTGCTTAGATGTTATTAGTGGCTATGATGACATCGATGATCGGGCTGTCGGTAGTTTGAAGCCAGGCTCTACCAGATTCGCAGAGGCTCTTCAGCAGAATCCGAACACACTCGACGGCTTCAAGGTCGGTATTCTTGTTGAAGGATTTGAGCACAGCGCAGTAGACCCATGTGTTAAGGGCGCAGTACTGACTGCAGCCCAGAAATTTAAAGATCTCGGTGCAACAATCGAGGAAATATCTCTTCCTGAGCATATGCAAGGCCCCGCCATCTGGACTATCCAGCAGCGAATTGCCGGGGCGCAGACTCTTTTGGGCCAGAGCACAGGCCGAAGAGGCCTTTACATGACTGAGATGGAACGTGCACGACTTCCATGGACTGATGATGGTTTCCAGAGGGCATTCCCGTCAACAAAGAACGTTATAATCAACGGTCTCTATTTGATGCAAAAATTCCCTAATCTCTATGGCAAGACTGCCAATATCGGTCGACTCCTCAGTGACAAGTACGAAGCGCTGTTTGAGAAGTATGATATCCTGGTAATGCCTACAACGCCGGTCGTTGCCCCTCGACATGGAAAGCGGGAACTCCCGCTCGATTCCCTCAAGCCTAGTATGGGTCTCATGATAAACACTGCCATCTTCAATGTGACGGGTCACCCGGCACTATCCATACCCGTCGGGTTTGCTCCCGCAAGGGGAGATAGCCAGGTTATGCTGCCAGTTGGGATGCAGATTGTTGGTGGATTGTGGCAGGAAGAGAAGATCCTGCGGGCTGGGCATGTTTGGGAGACTCATTTTGACTGGAAGAAGATGCATTACTCTACAGATAAGAACTAGACACCAATTAACATCTGTTTCATCGAAGAATTTAAATCGTGCTCGCTATATCCTGCAATATCAAGATATAGCTACACCGTTATATATCCACCATCAACCACCATAGCATGACCCTGTACAAACGATGCCTGTGTTGAACACAGGAAAAGAATTGCATCAGCAACCTCTGCCGGCTGACCCATCCTCTTCATCGGCGCAGTTTCCACTGCTGGTATAATGTCGTTACGGATCTCGGGCTTCTCCATTACTAGTGGCGTTTCAATAACACCAGGGCAGACACAGTTGACTCGAATCCCATCTGTGGAATAATCGATCGCATCCGAACGTGTCATTCCAATGACAGCAGACTTGGATGCACAATATGCAGCTATCACATAGTCAATACCATGTTTGATAGATATAAAGGCAACACTTACGAGCGCCCGGCCGGCCGACAATGCCAAGTTGGCTGGCAACATTTACCACAGCACCACGCTGAGGTGGACGACTGGTGTCATGGCTAGGAAGTGCACTTTGTGTTACCATCTGCCTAAGCTCTGCGCGAGATGAGAGCCAGCAGCCTCGGTAGTTGACGTTATTGATGCGGTCGAATTCTTCCAGTGATGTCTCTGCCGAGCGTAGAGTTTTGCCAATTATACCAGCACAATTGACGGCATAGTCTACTCGTCCAAATTCTTGTACAACTGCATCGATGAATGAATCTGCGAATTGGTCGTCTGCCACGTTGCCGGCCTTGGCCAACAGTTGTACTTTGGGATATGTTGATATGATTAAATCCGCCACTTGTTGCAGGGACTTTTCATTGAGATCTGTAATAGCAATTTTTGTACACCCAGCTGCAGCAAAGGCTTTTGTGGTTGCAGCGCCGATTCCTATTGTATGTTAGTACTCCATACTAGTGTTGATATTGCGGGGTGCTTGTCGTACCAGTTCCGCCTGCACCAGTGACTACTGCAACACCAGGAAACATATTGAGGAGTGGTTGAGCCATTTAGATAAAAAGAAAACTAGAATGGTCAAAATTTATCTGAATTTGAATAATGCAAGTTCTATACTCCCGGTGGTACTTCCGGCGGTACCCCCGGTGGTCCCGAGGTCTCCCAAGCATCTCCAAATGTACCCCACCTTTATCGCTTATCGCGGGCCGAAAGGTCCCGGCGGGCCCCGATTTGGAGCAGTTGGGGTCAAATCTCCCACCTCGACATCCACTCATTCAACCCCCAGGCTGTGATTCTCCAAACCAGTTCGTTCCCCATACCCCCCCCAATGTTTCAATGTCCCCATCACCCCAGCCGCACAAGGGTGCTCGTGGAGGAAGGGCGCGTATCTGTGTACACTGCGGGCGAAGTTTCCGACGTACCGAACATTTAGAGCGACACATTCGCACCCGTAAGTAATTTCCGAGGAAAACCCCGCAGCCAATGCTAACTTGCCAAACAAGACACCAAAGAAAAGCCGTTCATTTGCTTTTGTGGGGCAGCATTTACTAGAAGGGATCTGTTGAAGCGTCACACGCGCATCTCACATCAAGATGGCCTGACATCACCGACGCCGCCCGAGCCAACGACGAAGCCCGATTTCCAGCCAGTGCATCACCCTGCATCGATCCCGCCCCAATATGATACACCAACTAGCTCCGTACCCGTGGGACCCCTTGCAGGATCATCGGCAGTGCACCAATGGGCTGGGGCACAGACTACGCCTTATTTAGACCAGAACCACAATGTCGGCATGCTTCCTGCTGCTACTGCGGGAGCTCCAAACTCAGCCATCGATCCTCATACGGGTATGGTGCATGATCCGGATATGCTTCAAGCTGCCCAGTTGCTTCTCCCAGGTGATTACCGACCTACAGGTGCGTTTTTTTTATAGTTGCTCAAGTATATACTTCCCAATATACCATGCAATATGCAATGCCCTTGTTCGCTTTCGGGGTGATTCGTTGCTTTCAGCTCCATGCTTGGAAATTTATTGATCTGACACAAAAACAGCACAACCGATGCCATACTTGCCCGAAGATCTGAATCATTTCCAAGAATTCACCCATTTCTTGGATTCAATTGGCTTACCGGGGGAATGGGTTCCCAGCGAAGGCGAAACATCTCAGACACAAGAGGTTCACTTGGAAGATATAAGAGAAACGGGTCGACAGACCCAAGAGCATCATGAGCGGTCACGACGAAGTGGAGAAGGTTCTCGGGGAGACTCGCCATTCAGATCATGGCTTCCATCTGTGCCGAGGGGCGACCAAAGTCTAGGGACTCTGTCCGATTCTGGTATATAACACCTTCTGTTGCTATGCTTTTGTAGATTACTCACAGAATTATAGAACCGCCCCAAAATGCGAAGAGGCCGTCGCGATTCAATGTCACTGAAGACCAAAGGTTTCGGCTTGCGGCATCTCTCGAAGAATTTCGTAATGTCATTCCGGATTTCGTACTGCCGTCTCGTCACACATTGACTCGGTACCTCACTTCCTATTTTGAAGGATTCCACCCACACCTTCCGTTTATGCACATCCCAACTTTTCATATCAATGAGCATGCCCCCGAGGTGGTGCTTGCTATAATGACGATCGGGGCTCAGTATAGATTTGAGCACCGCAACGCAGAAAGAATATTCCACGTTTCCAAGGCAGTTTTATTTGAGCGGATGTCCAGAGAACCCCGTTTCCCAGCTAAGCCAAGCTACAATCCAGCCTCTCAAGTACCATTGGGGATATCTCCTTATTCCAATTTTGGAGATCAATCCCTCACACAGCCACAGGTAGCAGTGGAAAGAACTTCTGCTTGGAAGCAGATCGAAATCACTCGCTGTCTACTCATTCTTATGGGCTACGCCACGTGGGAATGTGCCAGACTGGTACAAGAAGCATTCCACCTTCAGGGCTTGTTGGTTCGCCATCTCCGCGAGGCTGGCCTGACAGAAGATACAACACGCTCCGATCCACGCGCTCCCCTTGACTGGTACGACTGGGCGGACCAAGAATCCGTACGACGCACGAAGTTAATTGCGTTTTGCTTTATCCATGTTCACAGCATCGCATATAATGCTTATCCATCTTTGCGCAGCAATGAGATACACCTGCGCCTTCCATGTTCTACCATCGAATGGACCGCTAGCACTGTTGCGGAATGGGAAGCAGCCCAGCGGGAACGAGGTCCCCAGCAGCTATTCTTCCAAGATGCATTGACTCTCCTCTTGCAAAAGTCTCGATCAGCAATACCACTAGACCCTATCCCGGCTCCACTGGGTAATTATATCCTCTTGCACGGACTCCTGCAACGAATCCACCTTGTGAGCGAGCTATCATTACCAAACGGCAACCACTCCACGACCCTCCCAACGGAGGAACTGAATAAACTAGAGCAAGTCCCCTACCCACAAATCACCCCCAAACCCATCTCTAACCCTTCAAATTATAGACGAGCTTTGCGCTCCTGGACTTCCGTATGGCAACAAGCCCCAGAATCCAGTCTAGACCCACACAACGCAAACGGCCCAATCCCATTCACCTCCAGTGCATTCCTAGGACTCGCCTACGTCCGCCTATCTCTAAATCTCGGTCCCCATCGCCGTCTCGAAACCCGCGACCCAACAATAATAGCCACTGCCCTCCGTCGCTCTCCACGCCCAGAACGAAGCTACCGTCTCATTCCGGCACTCATATATGCCGCTCATGCCCTTAGTATTCCCGTGCGTCTAGGCATAGACCACATTGCTCGCAGCCAAGCCTTCTTCTGGAGCGTGCGACACTCTCTGGCTAGTATTGAATGTGCAGTATTGCTGAGTAAATGGCTGTTTACTATTGCTGAGGCGGGACCGGATCAGTCCTTGAGTGGTATGTCCAAGCCCTGTCTGCTGGATGTGTAGTTTATCATCTAACAATCCCGTAGAAAACGAAAAACGCATTCTACGCTGGACACGCTGTATTATCGAAGAGGCTTATTCGTCTATTGATAGGGTTGATGGTGAGGCGCCGTCAGATCTGGAACCGGCTTCTTTGGGGTTGGCTGTTCTCAAGCTGTGGGCTAGGTTGTTTGGGACGAATACTCAGTGGCCGTTTATTAACGTTCTTGGACAAAGCTTGGAAGAGTATATGACTATGATTTGATGTTGATATCATGTCTTTGGGCTTGTATATATTGAAGCTTAAAAAATAATGTATGTGTTCATGATCTCATGATCCTGGTCGATGACTTTAAATTCTCTAGGAGCCTTAGAATATTTTTTGGAACTGCATTCCCAAATATCCCAAGTGAGTAATCTCAAATGAAAATATAACAGATATCTAAATATTGAGCATCTACAATTGAGTCGAGAGAGTAATATTAACTGACTGTCATTGGACTACAACCACTAACCTTTGATTCAAGAGTATGAACTGACATGTCACATCCCCTTTTTTTGTGCTTTTCCATTTTTCTGTGTCCATTCAGATCTCGTTCCCGAATCCCATTATGCCACTAATGTCCCAGTTCCACCACTGAGCTCACCAGTAACCCGAGCAAAATCAAAGACCAGCAAAGTGACCTCTGCTACCGATCTAGGAGAGCTCGATCAGGTCTCCCTCCACGGGAGAGATCAGAACTTCGTTGACCATAGAAGTGAGCAAGTGGTCAACTAGACCGAAACTGCAGGCCAAAAGATCGTCATTCTCAACCGTAGCAGAAAGCAGATCTCCCTGCTGACTCTTATCTCCAGCCTTGCAGTAGTCACCATCTTCGAATGTTATCAGGGTTTCTTCGAGCGGAGTAGTAAGTGTGTCTACTACTACACCCATAGCTTCGGCTAGACCATCACTAGCTCCGTCATATGTAGCCACGTCTTCCTTGGTCTGGGTAGTAGGCAGGTCTTCCACTGTACGCGGACCTTCAGCCTGGCAATCATCATCGTCGTCGAAATTGATCAGATTTCCTTCGATCGGACCAGGGGCATTGTGCTGAATTAGATCTCCTTCGACGCGAGCCGCCGCGTTCTGCTCGACTGGTGTAGTATCTTTCTGAGGGCACTTCCCTTTGGCTATGAGCCCAGCCTGACGATGCTCATCGATGTTGATCAGGTTTCCTTCAACTGAACCAGCGGCACTTTGCTCGATTGGGTCTTCCTCAACCGGACCAGCGGCATTTTGCTCGACTGATGTAGTATCATTCCGGAGATGTTTCCCCTTAACAAGGAGCTGACGACAATCTTCAAAGCTGATCAGCTCTCCTTCCACCGGTGCAGGGAAATTCTGCTTGACCGACGTCGTATCAGCTTCCCGAAGACGTTTTTCCCTAATAGGGAGTTTAGCCTGATGAGAATCCTGGAAGTCGATCAGATCTTCTTCTACCGGAGTAGGAGCTTTCTGCTTGAGTGGCCTATCAGTTTTTCGGGGACGTTTCCCTCTAATAGGGGGCCGAGCCTGACGAGAATGATCGAGGTTGACCGGACCTCCTGCGACCGGAGCAGGGACATTCTGCTTGACTGGCTCATTCAGCTTGACTGGCTTATTCCCCTCGACTGGCGTATCATATTTCCAAGGATTCTCCCTACTAAGCCTAGCCCGACGAATATCATCCAACATAGCGCCACCCTGTGAAAATTCCCGCCATCGGCGCACACGCTCGTCAAATGCCTGCCATCCAGACAAACTCTCGCCAACCCGCATTGCATGTTCGTTTGCATCGGAGTCAGGGGAAGGGGCTTCAGCTCGGGTGACGGGATCGGTCATTTGGTCACGTTGAACCTCATCGCTGAGATCATCACAGTTGGATTTGGCATCAAAGACCTGGGTCTTGGTTCCCTTGCCCACATCGCAGTCACAATCATGAGTATGTGGTGGAGAGCATACACAAATGCAGGTCGTGTTGCAGCATTCGCGAATTTCACGGCAGCGCTGTTTGCAAGACACCCAATCATGTTCAGAACTAATGACACAAGATATCAGTATTTGAACGCATGGGAGTTGTCGTTATCTTTGAAACTTACCCGTGGCATTTGCGGGGACATGGGTGTCCACATGGCAAATCCTTACCACAAGGCTTGTTGCAGCCGTCGCTGATACTATTCCAGTCCTTGAGAGCTAGACGAAACAATTAGTTTTTCTCATTGGTATTGCTGGACGTGGCGAAGACTTACTTCTGATGAGGGTTTCCTGGTTGTGTCTTGTGCAATACAGAGGCAAGACCGGACCAATACGGGGGTCTTCCTTATTTTCGGACATCGCTTCGGTAACGGCATACCAGAAACCACTATGTTCGCTGACACATTGTGCGTTCCCAAATATGTACAGACCGTATTTAGCGCGGGACAAGGCAACACAGACTCTGTTGTCTTGTTGGAGAAAGCCGATACCTCGATGATCATTGGATCGAACAAGCGAGAGGAGAATGATATCGTTCTCTTCTCCTTGGTATGAGTCGACGGTCAAAATATTGATGTATGAGTGGCTTATGTTGGGATTTTGTGATTTCTTTCGCATGAGCAACTTCTTTTGGCCATTGTAGAACGTCAGGACACTGATACTGGCTGTTGGGACTTTGTTCATCACAAGATAGGCAAGAAAATTAATCACCATTGATGCCTCAAAATCATTCACCTTGGATGACAGACTATCGCTGCTTTCATGCGCGGTGTGGTCAAAGAAAAAAGATCGTTTATTCCCCATCCCAGGAACCAAAGGGTGGTCCACAACAGAGGGATGGTCACGAAGACGATCCCCATAAATAGGGGCCACCAGCTTTCTGATTTCTGGTACCATTCGTCTTTGTTCTTGAAGCATGGCAAATGGCACTTTGTTTATCATCAGACGCTCAAACATGGAGACATCGAGGTAGAAAGGGTGGCCACACAGTTCATGGTCGGCACATTGACCCTTGAGCTGCAGGTGATCACCAACAAGAATGAGATGCTGAAGTGATGGAAGGCAAGCGACGGCAATTGGAGCCTCGAGAACTTCTGCTGCCTCCTCGATCAAGATGACTCGGGGATTCAGGCTCGAGACCAGTCCTCTGTACTTGCTCAAACCAGTGGTGGTCATGCCAATAATACTCGCCTCCTGGAGAATGTAGTAGTCTCGCTCAAATCTGCCGATTTGGAAATTGGCAGAGCAATCTTGGTAAGTTTGAGCGTAGTCACGCAGATGTTCTCCTAGGATCCCAATGAGCTCCTCGCGGAGCCAGCCATAAATATCACCGCGATATTTACCAGAAATGTTACAAAGGTCCTGCTCTTTCAGCAGTTTTTCAACCATTGCACGAGAGAGTGTGGCCTTGCTGGCGTTGCGAAGACCAGGCGACAATGGGAAAAAGCGGGTTTGAAAAGTGGACCAGTCATCTTCGTATCTTCCATGGACAACTTCGATCTCCTTCAGTTGCTCGTATTCCAGGTCAATATCATCATCACTGTATCCGAAGTTACCGTGGTATTTGGAATCGAATTCCCTTACGGAGCCTGCAAGCCAAGCCCTGAAAGGATCAGTGTTTGCAGGGCTATTGCGCCGCCATTTACTTGCGATTCCCTGCAAGGAATCAACCTGCTTTTGGCTCAAAAGCCCGTGCTCTAGAAACAGAGATATCTCGAGGGGCTTGTTCTTGTTTGACGGTGCAAGTGGCTCTAGGAGCTTCCCAATCTCAGCTGCTAGTTTATCCTGTTTCTTTCTCATTGGAGTCATTAGACCTCCCTCAATTTTCAACAAGCCCTGGTTTTGTCTGACCTCATAGGTAGTGCGCTTGCGAATTTCAGGATCGTTAGTTCTTCCACCCAGTCGGACGAAGTTCTTCTCAAACACCGAGATATGCTTGATCAGTTGATCGAGAGCATGGTTCGTTTGAGCAGCGATAATAACAGGAGGATTATTTGGACCCTTGTTTGAGAGCATCATCTTGAGAGCAGCGACGGAGGTAAAGGTCTTTCCTGTTCCAGGAGGACCCTGAATAATGGCCAGCTTTTTAGTTAACATTCTGTTCAGAGCTGACCATTGGGATGCATCTAGCTTCCCCATTGGATCGGAGGGCCATCGCTCGAGGATGTCGTACTTTCTGGTGATATCAAGTGTAGAAACTTCGGACAATGCTGTGAAGTCCATGCATGGTGTGGCGTTGATGTATTCCGGTGTGTCAATGTCTTGCGCCAAGCGGCAGATTTGTTCGTTGAATGGGAAACTAGATAGGGTTAGATGATGAATTTAATAAGAGTCTTGGAATATTGATTTGTAGCCTGACCTTTCCTTTGACAGCTTTTGCAGTGCGGTCAAGGTGTATCTATTTGCCTCAAAATATCCTGCTCGAGCCTCAACCATGATCCATTCTTGTCTAGTAGCATTGAAGATATAATAGTCAGCATTCATATCTTGCAGGTTTACAGGGTTTTGGTATTACTCACTGTGGATCAATCTCAATATCGCTGGGCGAGGCTAAGAAGATATCAATCTCAGGAGGGTCTTTCTCGACCCCTTCGAGCAGCCGACAGGCCACGACGGCGACAACACATTTTTTCTTGAATGCGTCGCGTTTGGGGGTCAGGGCAACGATCGTTCCAGGATTAAGGCGGTTAGAGTATGTCCAGCCAATATTTTTGCGCGCACGACGAGTAGAGAATTGGATGTGCAATGCCAAACCAGAGCGTGCTAGGGTAACACCGACAATGAAGACCTGTGATGTAAAAGAAGATGAATCAGTAATCTGTAAAGGCCAAATCTAGAAAGGCCAATGGCAGTGGAGTATTTACCTTTTCATAGATAGAGACGTCTGGAGTATCGAACATAAAAGGATCGTCGCGAACCTGAGCGACAGCATCTCGGAGTGGTGCAACTGAGTCTTCTCGGAGCAATGCATAATGGACCTCTAGATATTCCTCCTTGGAGACCCAAGGTCCCGAAATACGATTGGGGCTAAGAGCAATAATGTCTCCCGGCACATCTGTTCCAAGGATTTCTTCGCTGGAAGGAAGTTCTGGCTTGGTCTGCCAAGGTTTCCAAGGACCATAGATCGGAAGATCTGAGTCAAAATACTGACGGATATCTGGATTAACAGACCTAACCTGCTCCCTGGGCCGGGGATACTGGAAGTTAAACTGGGACATGATTGCCTAGAGAGTTTGTGGGATTAGACCATACACGTAGGTTCGAGTAGAGCTTCGATTAACCTCACCAAGACACTTTTCTGCAATCGATGACCCCAGTTCCAATAGGGATGTTATCCCTTGAAACAGTCACCTGCTAATGTTCTACCTTTAAGTAGTAGTCTTGAAACGGGTGAATATGTCTCAGAAATGAAAGTGGAACGCGTGTGTGGGATGCAAAACTGTGGAAGAAAGAAAAACAGCATAAAACGTCGAAGGTAAAACGGAAGGCAGAATTTGCGTCAGGCGGACAAAATTGGGCGAAATCAGACGAAAAGTGATCAATGTTTGGGAAAATAAGTGAGTTGCGAGTGGTAAGTGCCCGAATTCGTCCGGAAAGAAGTTGATCGAAGAAGGATAAGAAGCAAATCATGTCGAATGTTTGCTGTATCCGATATTCCACTACTTATCACTTATAATGTATGTATCTATGTACATATATGTGTACTCATTGAATATTATTGCATTGCAATACATTTCGATGCATTTACCGTGTCATATATGTACCTAATGAGGTAAGATTATATTGATATACCTACATAGGTAGTCAAACCTACATGTTACGAATATTCTATATTAACAATACATATATGGATAACACCCTAGCAAGCTTGTCAATTCCCCTATATCAAATTCTAACAACGCAATCGTTTATCAGATCGAATAGGAGTGCCCCTGTCCCCATCATCTTCAACTCCAACCTCCTCAGGAAAAAAGAATTTGTTCTTGTATATTTGAGCTCTGTTCCGCCTAGGTACACATTGTACCACTTCCCATTGAAATACGATCATTTCACATTCTTCTAGTGCCTCCTTGAGGATCTTTATATCCTTATCACGGAATGGATAATTCTGAAATTTGGATGGGATTTGATGGTCCTCGTTGACCCACAGAATCCCCCCTTCTCCGAAGATCCCACCTGTCCTAGGGATCTGGACAAACTGGTTCATCCGGAGCGGATCCGATACAGCCAAAGAGTTTGAAACTGAGTTATTGGGGGGGCTGGTATACGGCCCTGTGAGCCATTTGCCGCCTCGAGACTCTTTTACTATGAAGAAAGCAATACCGACGATCGGGGGTTGTTGAACCAGCATACGACGCCAGCTGGCATTCTTTCCCATGAAAGAAGCATATTGGGAGGGTTGATCAAGGTCCCAGCTGGAGTTTATGCCATGGCGGCCAATTTTAATGCTATCGTCTTTGCACTGTTGCTTGAACGTGGGAAGATCGGAAAACCAGGCCGGAAATGTGCTGGCTAACAGTGGGTTGGGTTGTTTATCCTTTCGATGCCAGTCAGGCCGGAAAAAGAGATGTTTCTGAAGTGAAGGCGATGTGGAAATCAAATCTTGCCATGGGTGGCACACACGTTGGGCAGATGTCAAGATGGACTGTAGATCAAGGTGGAGAAGTATGTTCTCGAGAACTTCCACCGTCCCAAGAGCTACATCTTGGGCGCTCATTCTGCCACTTAATTATACGGAAGCCTGATTCAAAATGAAGAGTCCAGGGTAAAGAAAGATTTAAGGGGGGTTGACACATTTAATGGTAATTTGTAGTCAGATTGAGATTGGTGCATTGACCCCTCGCCTTGGGGCGCGCCCTAGGAGCTATAACACTACATAGTTGATACGGCGGTGGCATATGATATCAATAGAAGCATATCAAAGTACGGAGTAATACCCCTAGACTAGAATTCTGGTTATACTAGCTTGCCAACACTTGGGGAATAATTCGCATAGTAGTTTTCCTTACTGCCGTATGAAGTTTCCTACCTGATCTATAGTTTCAATCGATCACTCATACGGACGTATATGATCATAAATGTCACGGACCAATCATTATAAAGGAGAGGGATATTATTAGGACCCAAGTATCACTACTTAGGGTCAAAGCATATCCTGCGTACATGGCGTTCAGTAAAAAGAGACACTCAACTTCCAAAATAGCCATTTTTGGCAGCAGATTTGCCATCATATCAGATGTAAGATAAAAACAAAAATAAATCCATCCATAGATGGATGTACTGGAATATAACAATTGATCTGATAGGGTACGTTGTGGTAGGTAGTAGTATACAGCTTGAAGCCCTTGACGCTCATTGGTCCGCCGAACACCGGATCCATATCGGATATCGGTCCATTTTAAGCCGCGACGTAACGCGCGACTACTTTGTACGTTGGACTCCGAAGCTGGAGCATATTTCCGATCTCACTGTTATTCGTCTTATTTCCGTTGTGCAGGAGCTCTTTGTTCGGAACTTCTCAATCCCCTGCTTCAATTCCCGTGCGCACACGATAGCTATCCCCACAACTCGGACTGCCACAAGAGCGCCCAGCAATCATGGGTTCACCAGAGGAAGAAGAGGACCGTGACATGGGAGGTATGGCAACTCTTTGTTCCAATGTCCCACTCCAATGATCCACTCCAATAACCCGTTGGCTGATCCATCTCAACCTTGCTAATTACCACCGCGATTTCCCAGGCTCCCAGGACGGAAGCTCCGATAACGAGAACGACAACGACAACGATATGGACGACACTATGCGCGACGTTGATGATGGCGATGGCGATAATGAAAATGACCAAGACGGGGATGGGGATCAAGATGCTGATAGCCCCTCGAATGCGAGTCAGGCGTCGGAGGGCCCGGGCATGCAACAAAACACGAATGGAAATGGCGGCAGCTCCGTGATTGAACCGTTCTCAATTTACCACCCAAGTGTGCGCCCCGAATGCCTCACAGCCCGAACATACGATGTGGTCCCAACCACCGCCGCGCCGCATGCCACTTCGATCAATGCCATTACAGCGACAGCGGATATGCGTTGGGTTTTCACCGGTGGAGCGGATGGATTCGTGCGGAAGTTCAACTGGGCGGACTCAATAAACAGCAAACTCATGCTGACCGTGGCGCAAAGGCATCCCTTCGTGGATAGTGTGGTGAAAGCTGGAGTGCTGATGACATACTGGGAGAACATGGATGGTAGCCACCTGTCACCGGTGTACTCTTTGGCCAGCCATAGCGAAGGATTGTGGTTACTCTCCGGGTTAGAATCTGGGGCAATTCGTCTGCAAACTCTGCGCCACGATGAAGGCAAGGAAATCGCGCTTCTGCGACAACATACCTCAGCAGTGTCTGCGCTGAGTCTCACATCAGATGAGGAATCATTGCTCTCCGGGGGCTGGGATAAACGGGTCTTCGACTGGGATCTGAATACTGGCAAAGCTAGACGAGCTTTTGGTGGCAGCGGCGGACAAATATCTGCTTTGCAAATTCGGCCAGAGTCCAGCCTTCCGGTCCCCAAGGACACAATCGAACCGCAGCAGACCAATGGAACCTATGCATCAAATTACGCTGCCCCTAGTACAGATAACTTCAACTTTATGGATACCTCTCACGACAATGAAGACGAAGGCCCGCCAGAGAACCCGCAGGCGGGATCCCCGGCAGATTCACTCTTTGGCGGAACGGACTCATTATTCGGTGATGCGGACGGTGGAGCTGCGGATGGTGGTGAGCCATCTGCTGGGGTATTTGGGGTAGACGAGGATGATGAGTTTAGCCGCGCCGTAGCCAATGGTGTCATGCAGGATGCTGATGCTCCAGGAGAAGCTGACGATGAAATGCCTACCCAGCCAGACGATGCAGGCGCACAAAGCACCCACAATGCATTGTCGCCGCAAACAAATGTCCATACAGACGTGCCGGCTCAGAAAATGGAAATGAACGATGAGGACATTCCGACTGGTCCAGTGCAACCGGTTGTCAATGGACTCCCTAAAGCAGAGGATCTAGAGACCCCTCCATCAGCCGCAGACTTCTCACAAAATGTGCAAGAAGAGCAAGGTGTGACAACTGATAACACGTTCCTTGCTGCCTCAATCGATGGAACAATCCGAGTCTGGGACCGGCGGCAGCCTGATCCTATTGCTCGTATCACCCCCTATAATTCTCCTCCATGGTGTATGAATGCCTGTTGGTCTCCGGATGGAAATTATATCTATGCCGGACGCCGAAATGGCACTGTCGAAGAATACAGTCTGCACAAGGGTTTGAGAAATGCTGAACGAACATTCAAATTCCCACAGGGGAGTGGGCCAGTGACCGCACTCAAGGCTATGCCCAATGGGCGTCATCTTGTCTGGTGAGTAAATGTCCACTGAGCAACGCAGAAAAAAAGATTTCTGACCTTTCTTAACCACAGTGCCTCTCACGATATCCTTCGTCTTTATGATCTGCAAAATGAGCAGGGCGACCAGACTTCTCGCCATTCGCCAGTTCCGTTCCTGATCATTCCTGGTCATCGCACTGGAACTATCTCTCAATTGTATGTCGACAATGCATGCCGTTACATGATCTCCACCAGTGGTAACCGAGGCTGGGAAGGAAATACCACTGAAGTCCTCCTTGGTTACGAGATCGGCGTACCACAATAGGGAAATCTGTAAATGTTGGACACGCAAAAGCATAATGTATGTACCATGGTGGCAAGTAATTTACGAATATCATGACTTGAAATCTTGCAAGAAATTTATACAATTGAATTTAAACAGACAATAAATATTTGTACCCAAAAGCCCAAACCCTGAAATTGAAACGATTGCCATGTAAAAATATCTACATGGATGCACATAACAAACACTAACGCCAGTTCCCGTCCATATTTACAACGTGACATGGTCATGTCCCATAAAAGAAAAGTTCGAAAGATCATTGCTCATCATGAATGATTTCGTCAAAGTCCAGCCCCTCACAAACTTCAGCTTGCTGAGATCGCCAAGTTCCAAAATAGGGATTGTTAGCCCACTTAACACGTCCATCCCGATCGTTATCGAAATAGACATAGCCAGGCTGGTCGGCATCTGCCAATGTCGCCACTTTAGCAGCTCTCTGAGCCCCAACCACAAGACCCCCAAAGCCGGGCAATGCAACATTGGGAACATGAGTCCTTGCCTCAATATGCCCATTCTCGATATTATTGACAGTAATGAGATAGACAGGTGGGAGATCCGCCTCACGGTTCGCACGAAGAGGCATAGGAATCCACGCCTCATTGTTATACGACTCTGGGCGATTCTTGTCGTGACGGAGGGGCAGGGGCCGATCCAAGAGCATATCATCCAGCTTGCCTGTGTCTAATAATAGACCGGGCGTTTGAACATAGAGGACGCTATCGTACTGCATGAATTGGATTTGCCCTAGGTGAAGCAGCTTGCTGTTTGTTGTTGAGTAGCCTGCAGCTGTGGCTGCTGACATGTCGATTGGGAGGAGCCATATATTATATTTTGCACTGGCGGCACGTAATATTGATAGGGCTTTTGCGGCTGATTGGCCCAATTTCTTGGCTGACATTCTGTCCCATTGCTCTGGATATATGAAGAGGCGGTCCTGGACAGCCGTCCCATTTGTGGAGAGTTGTTTGAAGAAAAGAATTGCGGAGCAGATGTCTGATGGATCTGGCTCAGATAGCATTTGGAGATAGGCATAGTTTCCAGATGCATCGTAGTTGCGCTGACTTCCAATTGGTGTATCTTCATCAGCCCCATAGTCGGTGTCTGATAGACCTCGTTTTAGTGGCTTTTGGAATGCGGGGCTTGTTTTGTGTCTGGCCATTTGGGCGGCTTCTTGGGGCTTCAAAGCATGCTGAATGTTCTTGACAGATTGCTGCTGTAACACATATCCAGAGAAAAATAACAATATGGTGAATATGCAGATCACTCCCATCGACAGAATGGCCGAAACACTGGAGGACGTTAAAAGAACCATGGCCGCAAGGGAGGCTGCATGGGTCGGATAGTGAGAATGTTATAGACAAAATTTAAATTTCAGACATGCATGTCCCCTGGATGTTCAAGATATAATAGCCTTGGTCTGTTAATCTCCAAACAGGTCTCATTGTTAGACCTGTTTCATGACATCAGGTTTGTTTACGTTGTCCACGCGACTATCGATAAGCCCAGCCTTGGCAATGTTACTTTACATGTTGTTAGCTTAGACAGTTATTTTTAGCCGGAGATTTGATCATCGCCTATCTGTATGAATGAATACATCCACATTATTTCTGATGGTGCTTAGAAATTCCAATCAATAATAGGGCAATGCATAGTGAGAAGACAGATGAATACTTTTTTGTGTGCAAACATGGTCAAGCCACGGCGGGTCATAAAGGCGGTGATAAAGGCGGTATCTCCCAAATCCGTATTATCGCGATGGTCTCAAAAAAACTGCCGTAGTCCTTTTTCACTTCTCTTCGATGTCTTGGCACCTCCGCATCCGCCCTCACTCCCAAAATGGCAACTCATCGTGCCGATGCCAGCTCGTTCCTTGATAACCGTGGTTACAAGGGCCCCCTGGTCCGTGGCGTCAACCCCGCCACACTCTTCGAGAAAGCCGTTCGCGACCGCATCACCGACTCATACTACTGGAAGGAACAGTGTTTCGGTTTGAACGCAGCGACTCTGTGTGATCGCGCAGTCGAATTGACCTCCATCGGTGGAACATATGGTGTCTCTGAAAAGCCCACCCCATTCCTTTGCCTCGCATTCAAGCTCCTCCAGCTCGGGCCTGACCGAGACGTCATCCTTGAACTACTCAACTTCACCGACCCCGGCAGTGGCGATGAAGCAGAAAATCCAGATGACTCCCTTGTCAAGGATCGAGGCGACTTCAAATATTTACGCGCACTTGCGGCCTTCTACGTGCGACTGACCTTCGACCCGGTCGATGTCTACAAAACCCTGGAACCATTACTTCTCGATTACCGAAAACTGAAGCGACGGGTGCGCGACACTTTCACGCTTACATATATGGATCAATTCGTCGATGATCTTCTCACGAAAGATCGTGTCTGTGGTACCAGTCTCTGGAAGCTGCCGCCGCGATCACAACTGGAGGACTTGGATTTGCTGGATGAGCGAATCAGTCCCTGTGAGCCAGAAGACTGATGAGCTCAGTATGATTATCAGCATACAAAAACATAACTCCGCGGAAGGGGTAGAGGCTACCAGAAAAGACAAGACTAACACGTCGGGTTATAGTGAGTTTTGTCTAAGTGGCTAGTGCTGTGCACTGTCCACGGGTGCTTCCCCCATAATCAAAGGTCATGTGCCGCCAAGCCTCGGGACATTTTTACCCTTTCGAGTAACACAAGGGCTTCCCTTTCGGTATACTTGTTCCCAGTTCTTATCTCTTCTTGTTTGGTTGCAGAATCAATTCATTCAAGACACTGCTTCTCGAGTTCTATTCTATATCGAACAGCGTAGGGAGTGAGTTGACAGCTAAAACACCACCTCCAAACAATGGCAACCTACTTATCTCAAGTATGTACTGATAGGCCGTAAACTCGACAAACCTGCATAACTGATCTACATACATGCACCTGGTAGCTGTGTACCTTATGTGCATAGGTACAGAGGTAGAAGATATACGATAAGGACATCTGGAAAGAGTAACATGATAAGCATACACTGACTTTCAAATAAACAGCCTGTGACGTCGACACAGCATAGACCAGCATGGACCACCGGCATTTCCTCTCCCAACATGGCAAATGCAATCGAGCCAAACGACAAAAGCAGCTATTGGACGCGTCCCTCTTGTAACTCTCAATGGATGCAAATTCCACCCCCGCTCCGGACATCCCTCATCGAACTGCAACAAGATCCGAACATATTTTGTCCACCGTTAGATCGGAGAGTACTTATTCACTTGGCCCCCATCCGTCCATAGCTCGGTACATACTTCTGTGAACCCATCCCCTACAATCACTCTGACATAATTCCTGTATATTGAATCACTATCCACCCCGGCTTGCCCTAACTCGTATGGATTGAGCCGCTATGAACTTCCTATCGATCTTGGAGAATCCCTGGTTAGTTGGATTCATCCTACTAGCTGCCACTGGAGTCTATGCTATCATTAATTGGGCATTTGGCAGAGATCTCTTGGCTAGAGTTACGCTGCGTGGTCGAAAAACTTCAACTGCCCAAACACCACCGCGATCTTTCTCTCCGGACAAGAAAACTGCAACAAGCCCAACCTCGCCACCTAGCTACGAAAAGGTGCTCCCACCCCAGCGACGAAATACACTTGCAGATCTCAATTGTGAAGCTGCACCCGCACGCGATGTGCACGAAGATGAAGTGCGTCGGAATATTCTACCCATGAGCGTCAACTATATGACTAGCCCGGGCGAAAAATATACACCGATGGGATTCTCAGTGGCGGAAATCAAAGCACTTGGAGACTTCCCAGACTATGCGACTTTAAGTGGAGTTCCACTTCCCAGCCCATATCCCGAATTCAATATCGAAAAGGCACTGCCGAGGCCATATCGTCCATTCCGGTGGGCGTATCACCAGACTATGTGTATGTCTCAATAAAATCGAATAAGCATGATTTGACACTAATCCGCTGCTATGTTCAAAATAGCCTTGACCAAGCTTGAAACAGACTGGTGGATTGAACTTGAAAGTACATACAAAAGCCGCATCGCCCAGCGCAAAGAACTCTACGCCAAGAATGGCAAAGAAGTCCTCGATGCCATGCCAGGCTCTGAGCTTGCATGCAAGGAGTTAATGGAGATGGTCCTGCAATTTACCTGCGCCCGATACCCGCAGTACTTCACACTGGTGGACAAGCGCATACTACAGAACAAGATCCTCGGTACCGAGCAGGACGTCACCGCTAAGCCCCCTCTCGAAGTCCTTTTAGATAATGTCCCAGAAGACTTTGCAGTCATGCTTCGTGACGACACGACGGGATTCTACTTCTTGCGTGCGGCGGTGATCTGCTCGGCGCTGGGGTGGAATGTCGCGTCAAAGGTTGGGAAGCAGCTGCATGAGATCCATGAGCCGATCCCGGATTATAAGGAGAAGATGCAGTTTTCAATGGATCGGTATGTCGGCGCCTTTCCCATGGGACATCGGATATTGAAGTGCTGACGCGAGGGTTTGGTTTAGCTTTTTCACCAAGATGCCGGCTGAAAAGCCAATTCAGCGAGGCTCATGGGGCCTGGAAATTGGACAACCATTGTACATGCCACCCGGGGATCCTCACGAACTGCACCGGCTATCTCAGCGGGATGATTTGAGCATTGACGATTGTAACTTGCGGGTAGACTGGCAGACTCTCAGACGTCTTCCCTTGTCCGGCGCAGTCATTTTCAATTTCAAGGGGCTTTTTACCCCCATTGCAGAATTTCGTGATGAGCCCGGAGTACCGGCTTTGGTGATGAAAGTGGTTACGGAAGGGAAGAAGAACCTCATGGATTACAAGAGTGTTTGGCACGTGCAGCATGTTGTAGTTCCTAAGTTGAAGGAATGGGCTGAGGAGCAGAAGGAGAATGGGTTAGTTTCGAAAGACTGGGAAGTATCTACTTTGGATGACAGTCCATGGTTCAAGGGTTGGCAAGAGAAGTGGCATCGACAGCAGGGGTTCTAAAGGGCTATCTGTGACTGTTCGCTGGTATTATTTCTTTGATTGAATAGTTTCATGATTCCCGAGGTGGCAGCTATTGTTTATCAGTTCTTCTTAATTGAGTTGCCTTAATGACCCAACTCAAGTCTTCCCATTGAGGGGGCGTTATAATTTTGGTGGTGATGTGGTGATAAGTTATCTTGAATATAGAACAAAGATTGCTTGTGTAGGAAAAAGAAGATTTTTTGTTCGATTTTGGTCTTATATAGACGGTTGATAGTCCCTTATTTTGATACTGTATTTCCCTGAAGTTTAGGCCAACGTAGAATTAATGTTATTGTTGGCTATATTTCTATGAGGCTGTTGAATTTCAGACAACTGACCAGGTGCTCTGTCAGTTCAGGCGAAATTGGCCTTTCCCCTACAGTCCTTATTTAATTATTATTATCATTAATATTTTCAATATAACGATACCAAGTTTGCTAAAGGTTTCAATAGCCCCCTTATTTTCAAATCTAGAATTGGATAAAGATGATAGTACATGCAGTCCCACCCTAGAATAACTCATGCTTTATCTTGGATCTTGCTATATTCAGGCAGAGCCCATTTTAGCATCCATTCTGAATCGAGAATTTTCTTAGTAGTAGGGCGATTCTCAGGTCTGAATGAGAGCATCGGCCGTAGGATATCGAAGAAAGCTTCCCTCTCCCTTGCATCAAACGGCGGTATATCACTATCTCGCCTGGGCTGTTGCACGCTATCCTCAAACCGATCGTCCCAAGATCGGAAAGGGTTGCGGTTTATTGGCTTACCATCCTCAGTAAATTTCAGTCGTCGCGCGTCCCACCTCTTCCACCATTCAAGCGGTAAAACACCAAGAGCATCGACATGCTCGCAAGTTATATCGTCCTCCGTCGCGAGAAACCCTTCAAATAATGGCCGTTGGGCTATGATAGACCATATAGTACAGGCGAGAGTCCAAATATCCGATGAAAAAGACAGAGGGTTATTTGCCTCAAACCGCGCCTCGGGGGGACGGATCACAAGGGGGGTGCGAGATTCGTATTTCCGTTCTTTTGAGGGGGAAAAGGCTTCACCAAAATCTGTAAGCAAGATCCTGGTCTCTGAAAGTGTGATTTTCTCACTCGCTTACCCTAACTATATAGGCGCAATACCGTGGGATAGAACACCAGGCGGAAGCGGATTGCCATCTAGACGAGTAACTGGGTCTAGTTCCGGTGCTCTATATATCTCATATAATTGTTTAAGTGGGAGCTGGTCAAAATTGGGCGGAACTTTGAGAAGTATATTGCTAAGGTGAAGGTCTCTATAGACAATTCCTTGGGTATGTATATAGTCCACAACAAGAACGAGTTGTGCAGCCAATGACCGGGCTACGTTAAGCTTGAATAAGCGGATCCATGAGCCATCTTTTACCCCGGAGAGGCTAGCACTCGCCGACGTTGTAACGTAGCAGGTATGATTGCCATTTGGGCCGTGGATAGTGAACCTATCTAGAATCGAAGGGACCATCATCTTTCCTGGATGGTTGACTGAAGGACAATGAGGATGAGTGAGCATAGAAATAATGTCCACTTCCTTTGGATTTGCGTTTGCTGTGCATACTTTTATTGTAACGTATTTATTGAATTGTTTATCACGGGCCAGCCACGCAGTTGAATAAGACCCATATCCCAGCTTATGAACAACTCGATATCGACTGTAAAAGTGATCCCCGATTTGAATAGGGTGATAGCCCCCTGGTCGATAGTTCTCAAGTCTTTCGATTCCCTCCAGGGGCTCGTAGAGGAGACGCGTGTCAAAATCTTCGTTGGTCTCCATTCATTTGAATGCGGATTTATATATATCCTATCAAAAACCCGAAATTCTTAGTGTAAGTATATAAAATATACAAATATAGTTGGAATATTTTGAAATCTGTCAATAAAAAGCACGTGTTAAGCTAATTTTGCTTACTAAAAAGACCCATGGGCAACCTTGGAATGTCGCAGTCTAGTCGAGGTCGTCTCGAGGCGAACGGAACGACGATAAGAGAATAGGAGTTGCAAGGACACAGGAGGGGAGGGAAGGCGAAGTATCTTATAGGCGCTCAAATAGACCGGGCGAAAAGGGAGAGGACTTGAATTCAGCTGAATAGGAGCCATTTTTGGCATCGTTTTGGTCGCCAGGAGTGTACAAGTCGAGCATCAATATCAGGACAGGAGGATGACTGAAAGTGCGGAGCGGGTGCAGAAAAGAGGTGTTACAGAGTAGTGGGCAGTCAAGGGGAGGCTGGACGTCCAAAGTTACAGGTGGAAAGGCAGCCGTTTCTGGCCTCAAAAGCAGTCATTTTCGGCGTCAATCCCATCGGTCCTCATATTCTAGTTGTAAACGGCGGAGCTAAGAACAGGCTGATTGCTATTACGGGCATGCATCGCAAGGGCAGCGAGCGTAGCTGGAATTGTTGCAGTGTACTATAACTCGTCGTTTTGGGTGGTGAGACCGGTATGGTCTCGCATACTTGGATGCAATCGTCTGGATTGCAGGATCTGGTCGAAATTTTCCACACTTGGTAGAAGGAGGATTCGACCTCGCGGGCCTGCGTCGTCTATAAAAGAAACCATAATTCTACCAAAATGGCAAAAATAGAATTCGAATAACTTTCCAGATTCTTCTCTTCGTCGGTTCCCTGTTCTCTGCCAGTTTCCCTATTTTATGAGTGTACCCACAGTCACCACAATCCGAAGAGTCTTTAGCCGTCTCTTTCACACCTAATGTCAAACGTGGGGTTTCCACTGGAACTCTTTCGCTTATGGAGTCCTTTCGGTTATGGAGTCCTTTCCTGAACAAAGCCCACCTTCTACGAGGAACAGTATGCTCTCCCTCCTGAGGAAGCTGAGCCTAAACGGGTGAGCAAGTTCAAAGCTTCCTAAATAGGATAATTTTGTAGGAGTTGTTTTGCTATTTATGTAGGCACCTGTGTATGTATTAGGAAAGAACGACTGTTTAGTTTGCCTCACTTGTTCCTTCCTCCTTCGTCCTTGCTGTCCCCCCGGGTTTCTATAAAAGCCTCCCTCCTCCCCCCTCTTCTCTTCTTCCTCCTCCTCCGTTCTTCTTTCCCCATACCAACGGACTCAACCTTCTTCGGGGTTTACCCTCAAGGAATACCTAAGTACATATCATTCTAGATGAGAAAGTACGGTTTCACGAAACCGACGTCCAAGATCAAAAGAGGGCTTATTTGGCTGCACTCCTTCAATCCAACTACAACCAAGCAGGAGGGGAATTGTATGCTACTCACCAAGAGCAACTACGAAAGTACCGAATGCTTGGGGATTGACAAGTGGAGTCGTGGCTTATTGATTCCCTCTGACATCCCACATACATGGTTTAACCTGTAGTGAATGCACTTATATCTCGACTTTTTCTTTCCACCTGTCTCCTATGTCTCCTGTTTCTGTGCTTTACCTTATCACCAAGGGCTTTTGTGGTAGGGTCGCTGACAGTATTATTGTACATGGGGTTGGCGCGATGGACTCTTAAACCTGCCGTAACTTGAAGCGACATGTTTTCAGTTAATCTAGAATCAAATATTCCTCATTGATGAGCGCCTTGTCAAACCCCATTTCCTCCAGCAGCGTCGCAATGTTCTTCAGCACAGCCGTTTCTTGCCGCACAGTGTATTTCTTTCCCTTAAACTGGTAGCTGGATCGGGCTCCGTGTTCAAACAAACACCGTACCAATGCTGCATGCCCCTGCTGAATGGCCATATGCAAAGGCGGAGTTCTTCTTGCAACAATATTTGGATCGGCACCCCATTTCAACAGCAGCATCGCGATGTCGATGTCTCCGTTTTGGATGGCTCGCTGAAGAGGAGTCTGGGCGATTTCAAGCCTACCCCTTCCACTTGGGTCAACACCATTTTCTAGCAATAATTGAACCATTTCCAGTCTCGTCTGAGAGGGACAATCGTGAAGTGCGATGAACAGCGGTGTCTTATGCCACGGAGAGGTCCATTTCGCGAGAGAAGACCCTTCGCGAGATAGAAGCCATCGGACCACATGCAGCATCCCGCTCTTGATGGCCTCGTTATAACAATAGAACCAAAGCAATTGCATCTCCTCCTTCGGACGTGTCATGTATTTCTCCAACACTCCTACCATCTCCACTTTGCCGATTCGCAAAACTCCTTGCACGGCCCTGTATAATTCCAGCGAGATGTCCCTCCCGGCTTCTATGTTCGGCTTAATCCACGCCTCCAGTCGATCTGGGTCTCCTCGCCTTGCGGCCACAACTAGCCCACAGGAATTATTGTAACTCCACCAAGAGCAACTCTGGTAATAAAGATCATACCGTAGCACCAGCATCTTGATTATCTTAGGCGTGCCCTCTTTGTATGCCAGGTCTACCGGTACCATCCCAAGAGTGCTACTCCACATGATAATACTAACCCCCTGGTCAATTAATGACTGCAGCTCCACATGATTCCCTCGTAGAATTGCGCTGGATGCAAGCCCACTGGTAAGCGTGAGTTCCAAGGATTCGATCCGCGCACCGGACGTGTAGGTGATATTTTCGACGTATGCTCGATAACGGTGGGGGCTAAATAGAGTCTTGGGATTCTCGGTGCTCCGTAACACAGCATCGATCATTTTGTCAATAAGGATATGCTTTTCTTCGCCGCTCATCGGTGCGATGCGTGGCATATCCAGGATATCTTGAATCAATTCTGAGAAGAAACATGGTCGCTCTTTGTGGTCTTCAATCAATTGCCAGATAAATTTCCGCCGGTAGGGAAACTTGGGCCACAACTGGAAAAGAGCTGCCTTGTTCACTAGATTGGCGCTCGCTGGCCACAGGACTTCATTGAAGACGCCTAAACAATCTTAGTATGCCTTGCGGTATATGACTCAATCGGAAACCTACTATTGACGAGTCTGGACCGCAGAATGTCTCGATAGGGTAGAACATCGGTCGCTTCTCGTAGAATGAGCTGGAGAATCTCGAGAGGAAGCCGCATCGCTAAATAGACAAATAGCTGTGAGTGCAGAACCAAGAATGAGACCGGAAAAGCGAGTGTCAAGGAGGCTAGCAGACTAGTAGAAGTGGAGACTAAACGAAATCCAAGCTTTTGTCTGATTGGCCAACACCTCACAGGTATCAACTAGAAGTCTGGCGAAACCAGTATGGCTTGCATTTTTCTAGTTTAACAGAGGACTGAGGTTGTAAATACCTAGCTCACACGAAGAACATATGTATCCCAAGTTTTACTCAAGTGCGAGAATTTCATTTGAACAAGAGCTAATTCAGATGATATGAGACTCACAGCTCCTAAGTATATGTTCCATATATTTCTTAATGGCCATTCTATTACTATTGTACAGAGTTTGTCACTACCAGGGATTGTTGTGGCCAATGAAGCCATTCTTCCCACTGGGGCCCAAGATACTGGCTGATTGATTCAACCAGATACTTTCCACCATCACAGAATATCCATGAGTGTTTGTGGGTATCAACCAGGGCGCCAAAATGCGCCAATATAACCAACGCCTCACCCTTCCTCTGCGCAACCAGATCAATGTATTCGCGAGGAACAAGCACTGGCCATGCAATAAGAACATCTAGGCAGTTGGACCCTGGGATTTGTCTGTCAACCACAGTAATGGCTGACTGCAACGCCTGGATAGCCTGTTGGTATGTCTTTTCAATATTTTCATCGTGACCAAGACCTTTGATACGATCCAAAAGCACCTGGCAAACAGAACCCAGACTTGCATCCGCCGAAGGCATCCTTTCTCCAAGCTCCAAGAGGGGTTTTAATTCTGTTTGTTGCAAAAGTTGCCATCTTCCCCCGCCTGCGATAGTGCGGACCCCATGATGGAGTACAGTGTACTGAACAAACTGGTCAAGAAAGCTCTCAAAGTCATTCTCTCGATATACTAGTGTCTCGCAGAGCATGTGCATCCCGAGAATACCAGCGAATAAAAAGATTGAAACGTAATTTTCGTCATTGATTTGTGTTGAAAAGTTTTTGAATGAGCTCAGCGCATAATTCTGAAGCTGAGTAGAATGGTGTCGGTATAAACTCCGCTGTTCGGGTCTGGTGATGCTAAGATGCAAAGCACTCAGAGATAGAAGCTCGTTCATGAGATAGGGAGCACTGAGGCCATACCGCAGTATTTGCTGGAATGAAATACCAGAGAAATTATTCGGACTATTGAGTGTGGCCATTGTTTCTGAAGAGAGATTGTGAACAAGCTCCACGTGGAGCATATTAACGGGAGCATCTTCGGGACTATTGTTGGGTTCTTGGCCGGGTGAGGAGGTCACGGCTGGTGATCCAACGGCAGATGATGCCGTGGCAGTTTCACTTCTAACGCTGCGAGAGGACTGCTCGATGGGAACAGCCTCTAAAAATTCACAATGTCGCTGTGAGCTGATACAATTGGAGCATATTGGTCGTTGTTCATCACACTGAACAGGGTCAGTGGCTGAATATAAACGGTTATTGAGTGACAAACCTTCATGTGACGGCGCTTGCATTCAATACAGCCATTTCGAGACTTTTTATGTGTTCTTCGGACCATTTTCGCCACGCTGTGATATAGAAAAAGATACTGCTAGGCCGGAAGTCTTGGTTCCGATAAGCGAATAGTAGATTCGAGACCCTCAGGGCCGGTGGAGGTGAATATTGTAGCCTAGCCAGTCTGAATCAAGCTTAATCTCTAGGCGCACACACACTTATTGGGAATCCACTTGGAATTTCTTGAATGACTCCCAAGGTTGAGTGGTGAAGTTGGGAAAATGTGAGGAATACGCGTATGCACAGACCATGTATCCACTTTGATTAAGGTTAAAGGTCTTGGCGCTCGGCGGCTCCGCCTTTTTTGATATCCTCAAGGGCTACTGCGCAAAGTGCATCTGCCCTTCCTGTTCAAGCACCTAATTATATAATATTAACCCCCTTTTCGTGTAAGAATATACGCTTAGCTCATATAATATACCGCCTCTCATAATGTCTGCTATATTTAAATTTTACCATCGCACTCCATCACTTTCATTTTACCACTCTCAAAGTTGTCAGCAACAACCAATAAAAAACTGAAACTTCATCATCTATTCTTTTTTTGAGAAAACAAATTATTGTTTTTCACGATATGGCTGAGCTCAAGCCTTACAGAGGGAGCTACTACCTCTGGAAATACGTCCCCTCCCTTCCAGCTGCAATCATCTTCTTGATACTTTTTGTCGCTGCCACAGCATTCCACTTTTGGAAGCTCCACCGAACAAAAGCTTGGTTCTGTCTTGCATTTTCTCTAGGGGGACTCTGTACGTATACTAGACACCCATTTTATTTGAACATCGCTGACAGGTTTTCGCACGGAGTCGAAGTAATCGGTTACATCGGTCGAGCCGCTGCGCACACCAGCACAGATTCGGTGATAGTTTATGCGATTCAGAACGTGTTCCTCCTCCTCGGGCCCACACTTTTTGCAGCTTCTATCTACATGACTCTCGGGCGAATAACCCGCAGCGTCCACGCTGAAAAACATTCGCTTGTTCGGATCGACTGGCTCACCAAGATATTCGTGATGGGCGATGTGGTATCATTCCTTGTGCAAGGCGGTGCATCAGGCCTGATGGCCACGGGGAATAACGTGAAGCTAGGCTCGAACATTGTGGTTGCTGGTCTCGTCATCCAGGTCATCATGTTCGGTCTATTCATTATCACATCGATTGTCTTCGAGGTTCGCATGCGTCGATCACCCCCGACGGAGGCTTTAGATGAGCGGATCAACTGGACGAGCCGAGTGCGCACGCTGTATGCTGTTAGTGCGCTTATCCTGATTCGGAGTATTTTCCGTGTTGTGGAATATGCAGCTGGAAATGATGGATATCCACTTACCCATGAGTGGATGCTTTATGTGTTTGACGCCGTTCTGATGATAATCTCTATGATTATCTGGGGTATTTGGTATCCAGGAATGCTGCCGAGACTCATAGTTCCAGACCAGGAGATAGTAACAGAGGTGGTGGCCGGCCTGGAGATGAAGGAGCGCTGAGTTATGGGTCTACTTCAATTAAGCACTTGTGCTCATTGCTATCCTACTGGCTTTTAAGATGCAAAATGGGATGAAGAGGGAAGATAGCTTGCTTTTTAAGAGGAAGAGGGTCGATGCTGGAGGCGTGGCTACGTATTGCTTCTCTGAACTGGACTTTGCTCTATCTTGATAATACCAGTCTAGGGATTTCAATCAAAAGTCTGAATACTATATGTAACTTCATCCTATTCATATGGACACAAGTCCCAGACCTATGACGCCCTTTGTGTGTATATACAAACTTTGGAAAGTGCGAGAGAAAAGTAAGTCTTGAGCTAATGTTTGCCAATAATAGCAGGTGGCCTAGTGGTAACACAACAGTCTATACTACGAAGGAAGTGCCTAAGATCTTCCACTACCTGCTGTTCCAATTTGATCTGTCGATGTCGCACTTATACTCTCCTTTTTCCCCCTCCCTTCCATCTTCCTTTATTGCTAGAAAATAAATGTCCTTGAAAATATTCACTCACAACAGTGCCCGAGGCATCCATAGGTGACAAGCCTTTATACCATTTTTCTTTCATTTTCTACACTCTTCTATATCAAGAAGTATGGGCTACCAACAAAGAAGCCATCCTTGAAAAAGCCATAGCGAACATAGCAATACCATACGTTAGCACTTGCCAATGATCTTCCGCAGATTAACAGTGTTATATTAACCAATCATTTTGAATAAAAGCCAATGTACAGATATCACCCATGGGTGGTCTGGGTGCCGTACTTCTAAGTGTAGCTTTTCCTATATACGGCGGACAGGATCTCAACACCTCGCCTATCGAGCTCGGTCTTCGTCCCTTATGATTTTCTTTCCATTATGCTATCTCTATATATGCCCCTGTCATCTATATGAGACTTGATGTTCTATTCTTGAACTAGCTAGGGTACTCTGGCAGCCTTTTATAACAACTATCAATATGATTGAGACTATGTCCCCGACGTCTGCGGAAACATCACCAAGTATCTTGAACGGATTGGAGGACACTGGGGTGGCGGGAAATCTTATATAGATAGATAGAATAGGTATATCTATCTATCTATATATGGATCGACCAATGAATTCGAAATCCGGCAGATCTTTCAAACTCCTGAGATACAGCCTCCACCGCCTAGTTGACCGGAACATCCCTCATCCTTCGAAAACAGACCTCAAGGTTTCTAGAAAATGGCAGCAACTTTCAATCCCAATCACTAACTACATTATCGCTAATATGTTAACCACGCTCATACAAGTGGTAGTTACGTTTGTAGGGTGCAATTCTGAAGGCTACGAATCTCAGCCTACAAGGGTGTGTTAAGACAGACCATCCGATAGACGCTTTGTTTCAAGCTTCAACTAGCTACCTAGCTGGGCTCTCCCCTCTCCGTTCTCTTCCTCATTAAGTACCACTTGAAACCTGCCTCCCAACCTCCATGCACATTATCACACTAGCACTCAAGCCGTAGACTCAACCTCGACGTGGTGGGTATCAACGTTCTTCTCAGTCTTGAGATCCTCCAGCACTTCAACACCGGTAAGACCAAGGCTCTCGTTGATCCGCATCATGCGCAGGCGATCTGCTTCAGCAATGCTGTTCTCATCGCCACCAAAGAAGACATCCAACTCCTCAAGTGTCTTGTCCTTTGTCTCAGGGGCAAACTTCCAAATAAACAGACCACCCAAAGCACTGAAGATGGCGAAGAAGATATAGGTACCATACTTCATGTTGTCCAGCATATCCTTGGTGGTAAGACCGATGATGAAGTTGAACATCCAGTTGGTGGAAGCGACGATCGAGACACCACGAGAACGCTGACTGTTGGGGAAAATTTCCTGAGCCAATACCCAAGCGACCGGTCCTGTTTGATGAAATGTTAGTGTGATGAAACATATGAGCTGATATCGTGATGACATACCCCAAGAGTAAGCAAAGTTAATAGCGAAAAGCCAGATGAAAACAATCGCGACCCAGCCTTGCGCTGTGGCAAGTCCCTCGTGCATGTCCCACTTAGGCTTGTATATACCCTCCACGATAGCAACGACAATATGGCAGATGAACATGCCGACAGCACCGACAATTAGGAAAGTCTTGCGGCCAAACTTGTCGAGGTAAAGAACGGTGGGAAGTGTGAAGAGAATCTGCAGGATACCAGTCACACCAGTGGCGAGGAGAGTTGTCTTCGTGGACGAGAAACCAAACTAAGAAACAGGGAAAGAGTTAATAATCATTCCTAGGAGCAAAATGAAATGGGTCTTTGGGAAAGAACGAATCACTTACCGAAGAGAAAATCTGGGGCGCATAGTAGAGCACGGCGTTGATACCAGTGAACTGCTGGAAGATCATCATACCGGAGCCGAGAATCAGGCGCTTGAACATGTTAGGGGCAAACAGAGCTTTCCAGGGAGCCAAGGCGCCACCGGCTCCGACAGCCTCGCTCTCAGTCTCTTCATCGAACATGACAGCAGCCTTGATCTCCAGGTACTCCGCGCGAACAAGTGGATCGGTGATAGGCAGACGACGCAGCTTAGAGATGGACTCCTGGGCTTCCTGATCGCGGTGCTTCATCATCAACCAACGTGGGGAGAAGGGGAAGAAGAAGAGACCGAAGAACAGAATCCAAGCCGGGATGATCTGCAAAGCCAAAGGAAGTCGCCATGCGATGGTCTTCTGGCCCAAGCAGGTGTGGCCATGGTTCCCGGCAGCATCGTACACACCATCCAGGTAAGGGTCTGCGATACCCTCGGGGCGGCAGGTGTTGCCGCCGACGAACTGCATACCATAGTCGAGCCAGAAAGAAATGGCGGTACCGATAGTGATAGACAGCTGCTGTAGGGAAACGAGCGATCCACGCAGCTCAGGGGGAGCAATCTCGGCTTGGTACAGTGGAATAACCATACTGAACATACCAATACCAACACCACCGACGATTCTGCCGGCGAAGAAGTATGCAGGGTTCTGTGCACCGGTCTGGAGACCAGTGCCCAGGGTGAAGATGACGACGGCAACCATCATGGCGTACTTTCGTGAAATCCGATCAGCGAGGAAACCGTTGAGCAAAGCACCAGCCCAGGCACCAAGCTCAAGGGCCGACACCAACCAACCCTGGATGGTGGATCCAGTGAACGAGGGGAAGTGGTTTTGGAAGTTCTCCATGACCAGAATGGGACCCATCACACCCTGATCGTATCCGTACATGATACATCCCAGCGATGCAAAGAGACAAGTGAAGAAGACATATGGGTTGGAAATGAAACCCTTAAGACCGTGAGGCTTCTCTGCGTTGGTACGACCAACGACTGACTGACTGACTGCCATCTTGAAGACAAAGCTAGGTCGTCAGAGAGAAGAAAGAAGGAAATGTGATTCTAATGGACGAAGTGAAAAAAAAAAAAAGAAAGAATGGAAATGGGTCAGGCGGATTATATATGTACGTTGAGGTGCTGCCATAAGCCGCTAGTCGGGGTACCTCAGCAAGCAAACCCTCAGATAGGTCGTTTGTCTCGTCTCTAACCCAACTTTGCCCCCACCCCTGCCCTCTAGTCCCTGCATTACAGTTCCCACGACATGGTGCTCGTTCCATTTCCAGCTTTGACTTTTTTTTTCTCCGCCCATTCTGGGGTTGGGGCCTTTCCCCGGAAATAACGACAAACCGCGCAGCCAGAACCGAGATTTTTCCATATGGGGCAACGTTGATCATTCGATGCCATATGCCGCTCCAAGGGGTCAGCAGCACGCTAGGACTAAAGTCGCAAATGTTATGCCCGAAAAGACGAGGATGATTATAAACTTGTCGGACGCTAAGGCGCGCCACTCATCAAAAGAAGCATCACGCCAATAGGCTCGGCATTGACTGGGCACCATTGGGTCCGGATTTCTCAGCGAACAAGCCTCCGGGTCCGAGAGCGCCATGGCTTGGCTGCATTGGGCTGTGATTCGTTATCCAAGCGTCAGCCTGAATCATTTCTCAATCTCGGTGTCCTGCTACTGCACCGGGGCATATTTAGTGCTTACTGCACTGACAATTCGGATGCAGTTAGATACAACGTGACCCCCTGCAAATCCGACAATTGACCGATGGCAGTTATCGAAGAAAAAATCATGGTATACAAGCCACATTGGGAGTATTTGGTGTGCCATGTCTACAGCAAAAAAATATTGGCTAATCGCTAAGCATTAACTATGTGGGTACGTTTTACGAATATCGGATAAATATCAAGTCTCACCTCAGACAAAGAAATACATAGTTATGTCAACTGATCTAAGCCGTCTCGGAGGCCAAGAGCATACCACAAGCAAGAGGGCGGGAAAAAGGAGATACAGGGGCCGGAAAATATCCGGATCTTCTGTTTTGGCTATAATCCATGAGCCCTAGTTCTCAAAGGAGGATAGCCTGTTTCAGTTGCTGCAACAGTAGCATCTAGAATGCGTAATCTGCACGCCACGGGGCGCCGTCTCCCCATACATTTTCACGGGTTGACTTGGTACTTCTAGCCCCGGTTTGTAGACGGGAGGGGGGAAAACAAGGCAGCCCTGTCGCCATCGCCAATTTCGGGTTAGCAGACTCTATTTCGGCATTGGCTTGGCTCGGGATTGGCCACAAGACTCGGGGAACCGAGCGGACGTGGCCTTCCCACGGGATTCTCGCTTTGCCAGTTCCAGATGCTCGGTGAGTCGTCGGATTCCGGGGATGAAAGCTGGGGCGTGTATGCACTTATACTTTGCTTGACTTGTGTATCACAAAGTGATGGTTGTCCGAGCTGGCTTTTCTCGGAGTCCCGAGCTTAGCTTCCGACTCTTCCGGTGTGGTATACAATGTCGGGGTATTTGAACGCTAACAACCGTGATGCCCCATGGGGTATCCCGAGGTCGCTATAGAAGGACCAATGAATGTCGCTCGCTTTGAATTGTCTTCAACTCGGGTCGAGCCGAAAGTGCATTGTGGAATGTTCTTCACTTTTTTTTTTTTTGCTTGACACGTGCTATTGCCATTTTTTACTTTTCATTTGATCTTTTTTTAGAAAAAAAGGTCGCCTGCTCACGACAAGCACTAGGTATCTTTTTGGGTGTATTTTCCCCTAGTCGGATTTATAGTGGCAAGAAAGGAGAAGAGAGCGGAACATTCTTAATCCTTTACGAACACATGGAACCTACCGCAGTTCACCAGACTGTTGGGCCAAAAGTTCAGCTGACTGTGCCCCCAAGCGGTTTGCAGGGTTTGCATACTGCTTGGTGCTTGAGGTCTACGGCTTGGCGCCTACGCCAAGCCTTCTCCTCGGGAAGTGATTCAGGGCTTAGTACCGGCCTCCTCAAGCAGTAAACGTATCAGGGGATAGGATTTTCCCTCATGTCTACTGGCATATCTTTTCCAGAACCAAGAAGATTTGAAACCCGGAGGTCCCATTCACCATACTGTTCTTCTCGAATCCGACCAAAGTGCGTGCTATACCATTCTACTGCCCGCTCATCCGCACAGTCATCAAGGATATCATTGTTGACTTCGAGATAGCCCCGCATCATTGATATCCAAGCGTTTAGTAGCAACTCCCACGACGAAAATCCAACCTCTTCGATATCATGAATAACTCCTTTGACAAAGCTCTCAATCAATGCTGCTTCAAGTGGATAGAATAAGTTACCATACACTTCATATTGCTTTAGTTGAGCCTTCTGGTTTGACTGATTTGAAGTCATATCGACATATTCCAGTGGTAATTGCGCGAAGGAGTTGGGGATTAAGAAGATTTGATCCCCGCTGAACGGAAGGTGAGGCGGGAACTGGAATGACGTGCAATAACGGTCTAGGCGTTCGTAGCCCTTGTTAATCTCATCAAGGACGGCTTGCGGATCTGGGAGAGACTCCAGAATTTCAGGTGCGGGCCGGCGATCAGGAGGGGCTTGAGTGAATCCAGAGTCTGTGAGCTTCTGAATCGCCGTCTGATGATGTTCGTCTCGGACAACAAACATATGATACTGCCATGATAGTAAGAATAAGACCAAATAATAAGAAAGTAAATACTCACACCTGCTCCAGTCGGGGCACCCAAATAATACATTGCAAGCTGTCCCCACGATATGACCGGTAGAGGCTCGAGTATTTGACTGAATGCTGAAGATACGGCGTCAGGTGCGACGTCTCGGGGATTCCTGAACATTTCCGCTGCAAATCTTCTTTTGAAATCTTGTGCGCTCTTAGTAAGTTTGCTTGCGATATTTATGTCAAAATTTGACGTAGGTAAGAAGAGGTGAGTTGGGTGAAAAGACGGAAAACCGTTGTGGTTGTAGACGAGTTAAGGGTGACGGTTCGGGCCTCAAAAATTCGTGACGGCACCTCAGTTTATTTTTTATTTTTTTTTTTTTTTCCTTATATAACTAATCAGCTTTTTCCATCATGTTTTTCTAACGCAAGTCAGGCAAAGGCCATCGCGTACAACCCAATAGTCTATGTCATCCGTCAGGGGAGCTACAGCTCCTACAAGGGATGCTCCCGAGAAGGAGGAGATCCCCAAGCTATAGCGCTTGGAAAGGTCGGTGCCGGTGGACCATCAGCGGGACCACCCGCCGGACAATAATTCAACCCAATGTCTATTCCGGGTGTACGAAGACTATGACGGCAAGGACTACATCAAATAACAGGAAAATTCAACATGAGAGCTCAACATTGCAATGAAATTCCGCTATACCTTGGAATCTTCAATCGTAAGGACACGGGTCTTCCTTTGTCGCCCTAAGCTACCATCGCACCGTGGTGATTCTGGAGAAGATGCCACTGTACGCCCAGAAAGGACAAAGAAGCAAACCTATCCTGAGATATTAATTCACAATCCAATTTGTACAAAGAACTCTTGTTATTTTAAGCGATTTACGGGCTTTTTTATCCGAGTCCTACCAGCTAACAAGGGAACAAAGATCTATCAATAAAACGCATTGTGTTTATATATTTCGGTTCTACTCTTGGATAAAGCCAAAGAGCCGTTCCCTTGAGCTCTTTGTCGTCGAATACAATCTCAATCTTGTAAGACTTGATACCTGAATCTCCAAAGCTATATATATAGCTCTCCCTTCCCCCGAAGTAAATATGCATCAAGTTCTCCATCACTCCACGATTCCAGTCTTCTGGCTCTAGGTTTCGTGGATCCCGTATCCCACCGGCCAAGTACAACTTACAAGTCTACCCTTTCCCTCCTTGTTACAAAGAACGATTTTCAGAATCATGGCAGCTAACTACGACTGGCAGGCTGTCCACCCAGTCTACGGGGTACCCATTTCGGTCGTGGAAGCCACCGAGCAGCCCATAATCCGCTGCGACGTTCGCCAAAAGCACAATCTCCCTTCTAGATCATGGGCGGTTTGTATTTCTACATGGATCAACACTAACTATTTCCTATGGTCTTTGTGCTCTGGTCTCGCCAGCTATCGCTCCGACGAGGAGTGGACGAATACCTTCGAGGCCCGTTATCGGAAGACCTGGGATGAAATCCAGGCTAGAGTCCAGGAGATTGATGGCCCTTATAGGTTCGGTGTACCCATTCCGATTCCCCCAGTTATGAAGGCTGTAGTCATCCACCATCCCGAGAGTGGCCCTGCGGAGACATTCACTGTTCGCCCGGAGGCTCGCCCGTCTTATCTTATCCCCCAGGTAACTAGTATGCCTGGGGATGCTGTATGGGGTCTCCTGCGCTTTGTGACTGAACGTCAGTCCTCTGTTCCTGATCAATTTGACGTAGTGCTCGATATTTCGCCGCCGGCGCCGTCCCACCCTGTAGGTGCACAGATTGACCAGAGCGTAGCTGAAGGCGAGTCAGAGGATGACGTGGTCGACATATACTACTATTTTGGAAATTGAGGTCAAATATGAGGCAATTGCTTATTTTATTTCTTCCTGTTTTTCTCATATATTCTCTCTCGGAAAGGAAATCACTATTTGTTCTTATAATCAGTTCTGCAGACATGACATAGTAGCGTAGTAAAATCTTAAAAATCGCGGTACTACATCCATAGGCATGGACTTTACAGGGGGTCAATAAACTTCTAAACATCAGTGCAAAAATCAACATCGGAGCAGTTGAAGAGTTCTATATAGCAGTTCTGCCCAGTTCCGCTGATTTGACTACGCCTACAAGGGGAGATAACGAGTAGAAATATTATAATGCCTTGAGAAGAAATTAAATCCAACTCATACGGCTGGATGCAAACTAAAAACCAAGGCATAGGGGGGAAACACCTAGGCTACGCCCAATTATTTAGTCTATACTTAGGTAAATGGCTAACATTTGTCCACTTGATACAAAAAAACCGCAGATAATGTGCCAGATCAGGGATTTATTCGTAAGGTTGATGTCACGACGGAACTAACAAAGCAAAGCCCAAAATAATCGAAACACGCTTTGTGGCATGTCTCGGAGTCTAAGAAACGACGTCAGCATGAAGAATCCCGACATAAACTGGAATCATCTATATAGGGGCGCTTTGTTCTTGCTGAAGCTGTTTAAAATATTCGAAAATTTTCTTCTTGCACATCAATCGCACCGCCACCATCACAGAGCATCCAGTATTTAAATTCAAAATCCGATAATAGCCCGGTATCACTAAGTCCAGCGCCGGATTCTACCATGCCACAGTGGTCATATCTCACCAAGCCCCTAGGCAGTCTCGATCTGCCTCAGGAGATACTTTTGTTGATTACAAAGGCGATGCCTCTCCAGGACCGCTCTAAGCTCTCGCAGACCTGCATGTCTGCATACTTGCGCCTCGGGGATAGCATTAAAACGGAGAAGGCCCAACTATTTTCCCAATTCCTGCCTTCCAGGCAGGAATTCGATAAACATGGCTGGTCATGGATGGATACCAATGCAGTCATCGGAAGGGACAGACCAAAACAGTACTGGGGTTAAAAAACTGGAATTTCTTGCGTAAGCCCTATAACGGCGAGAAACTGGCTTATGCCGTTATGCACGGAGATGTTGAGACGGCGAAGGAATACTTGCACGCAGGCGTCAGCCCTAACGCATACAGCCTTACCGGTGGACTCCTACTGCACGTGGCAGCTGCCGCTACCCAACCCGAGATGGTAAAATTGCTTCTGAAATACGGAGCTGATTCTTGCATTCGTTAGCGGCTGCAATGATACCAAGATCGATGGCTTCGCCAATTTTGTTGTTGCTTTTGGCATCTTGGATGTCGTGCAGGCCTGTCTAGATGCAGGTGTGGATTTCAATCGAACATATGAGAAGACGAAGGAGTCTGTGGCACATTACCTGGCCCTACACATTCCCACAGAGCTATTCGACCTATTAGCACCGCATCTTACATTTGAGACTATGACGAAGGTCTCAGCTGCTCGCAGGACGCCACTGCAAGTCGCACTGGGACGAGGTGAGTGCATCGCGATGAAACTCATCGAGGCTGGGGCCGATATCAACCCCCTCGATAAATCAATAGATACTGCTCTGTTGGTTGCTATCAAAAAGCACTGCTTTAAAGCTGCAAGGTTGATTCTTGAGAGACACCAACGCTTCCCCGGAAAGCCATATAGAAGAGTGTGAACTTCTGGCTGCAATCCCGGCATTTTCTTTATGCTTCTCGACCGCTGGATGAGCAAAGAACAAGATGATAATGACTATATTTTACCGTTTATCCACGCCATCAAAGAGGGATCTCCAGGTATGGTGGTATTACTCTACAGGAGAGATACGAAGCATCCCACTTTGGAATGGAACCCCGGGAGACTGTTTTCACCTTCGGCATACGCCATGGCTCTTGTCCGCGGGAACCACGGGATCGTGAACTACCTAGAGCGTCTCATTGAGAGCGACAGCAACGACCCTCAAATGCCATACATACCGGAGAATGATATACATTCCGACATGGCACGCAAGATAATGGAGGTTATGTCAAAAACCCAGCACTGGGACGAGCATATTTTTGGTGATAGACTCAAGTTCGACCTCATCAATCAAATCGCGTTGCATATTCCTCCCTTGGCAGGGGCAGATTTAGATTCCCCTTGTATCTGCGAGCTTGTCGAAAAAGCTCAACATATTCGTCCAGACAAACAGGCTATGCTCTCTAGGAGACAGAGACTCATTAAGGCGTTAGAACACTTCCCTCGACATGAATGCGACATTTGTTCGAAGATACGACAATACTGGCGTGTCATACAGGTGGGATGCTGTGTTTTCAGAGTTGACGATAGAAAGATAGACGAGCTCATTCAGCTCATGTCTCTTATTTCTGTCGGGGGAGAAGCCCATACTGATAGAACTGGTGACCTTACCGAGGGTATATCAGATTTCCTTAAGCAGGCTCGGTATCCTTTGATACATTGTTCTGTTCAGAGAGCAGAATACCCCTGGCTTACAAAGGAAGAAGCCAGTGCTGTCCTGCAATACTGTCCCATAGAAATGTCAATAAGGAAAGAGGAAGAAGAAAAAGAAGGAGAAAGAGTATGGTGTGATTCTGACAAGACATTTCCGCTAGGGAAGGCCGTTCTGCGTCTACTGCACACGGTTAGGAGAGGGAGGTGATCCTGAAATAAGGATATTTTTCTTGCAGACCTCGGAGGTGGTCCTTCACCATCACATAACGAACCAAGCACGCATACAGAGGGACCCTTACATCAAGCGACTGAAAAGCTCAAAGTCGAAGCGAGTACCTCCTACCATTAATGATAGAGAAAACCAGCTTAAAGAGACTTTGAGCAAGTTTTGTAGCTTGGTAAGGGAAAATGTTGATAATGATGAGATGGACCGACTCTTTTTGGTCTTCTTGCGTCTTCTTCGATTCTAGCCGTTTTTTCCCTCGCATCGGCATTGTTCTGTCATGGTGTCAGATTTTTCTTCTAATTGTTGTGTTGATTCTGTGGCTTTATGTTTGTTTGGTTTTTCTATTGGGTCATTGTCTTACCTGAGATTATAAGTGTGAGGAGAAAAGGATTTATCATGAACGATGAAATGAAAGGAGGGGGAAAAATCGTTCTAACAGTTTCTCATTTCAAAATCAATCTAAAGACATATGCCCTATAACAGGATTAAGTGATCAGTGAATCTTTATACCAAGCATGGAGTAGTTTCATTGAATCGGCCAGTCTAAGCACAGCACGGGGACGTATCCCCTCAGATCAAAGCCATAGCAAATGCAGAACAATTAAGACGGGAGACAGCGATATCAAAGGCTGAGTAGTACACGGCAAACGAAGATAAAAGCAAAGCTAATAAGCATATTTGGGCAAATAAGAGCAAGAGAAAAGATAGAAGGCCAAGCGATGAGCCCAGAGGCTGACGATGTCAGACGCACCGAAAGACGGTGATGTATGTATGCTTTCCGATCATGTCGACATGGGCTGGCATCGTCGCCGATGTGGCGTGTATGTATGCAGGGTAATGTATGTGTTGCTCGTGAAGGCGTCTCAAGTGGCCGGGGGGATTAACCATAGATTTCAATTCAGGGCTTGGGCTCTTATTTTTCTGTATCCTTCTATTGTGTTCTGACGGGTCAATGCCAATGCATGCACCCCCAGAGCTATTCCTTGGCGACGGAGGAGAGGCCGCCCGGCTTTATGTGCTGCTGTTCTGCGTATTCTTCACAGCTGCACCCGGAAGAATGGAAGGGAAGATGGAGAAGGAAATCGAGCGACGATTGGGTATCATAGTGAGGCTGTTTTGGAATGACGCGGGATTAAAGGAGGTTGAAAGGCGCCGGACGACAGAAGAGAAAGGAAAAGTGGTCGAGTTAAATTGTCATTTCCAAATTTAGTCGGGGTTGGTAAGCTAGAATTCACACAGTTAGCAAGATTGTTTGGCCAGTATCCAAAGTGATATCAACTTACCCGAAGAACAGGACGCGAGTAGTCTTCGTTGTCTTGCAGCGAAACACTGCTGTCCCGAGCACCGTTGGGGTACAGAGCGGTGTTGGTCTTCATTCGCCGATCGGTGAATGTTGTGGCCGACCGTGCGGGAACAGCACCAGCACCGCCGTCTCCATTGCCTCGTGGGAAGAGGCCTCCCATGAAGCTCGATCCTCTGCTGGCTCTGTCGTCGGTCATTTCCTGGCTTGGGATGGGGCTGACGGCACGGGCGCGTTTGCGGTAGAAGAGAATCATGAAGATGAGAGCACCAATCAGGGCGAGTCCGCCAATAACACCAATGACAATGCCTGCAATTGAACCTCCACTCAATTTCGAGCTGCCGGAAGCGCTAGTGCTAGCTGATGTGGAATCAGCGCTAGTGTCGGTCGGACTTGAAGCAGCAACAGTGACTGTCCTGACTTCACCACCAGAGTTGGTCTGCACTGAGACAGTATGAGAGGTAGAGGTTGTTTTATCCTCCGACGAAGTTGACTAGGGACAAAAGTTAGCCAAAGTGCAACATTTGATCAAACCGGTCATGCTGAGTATACAGGTTGTGAAGCCGAGATCGTAGAACCCGAGGCGGTCACAGTGACAGTTTCGGGTTGAACGCTAGTACTTTCCTATCCCTGAGATTAGAGCCACAAGCCAAGAAAGAGTACAGCACCCAATCATGCTACTAAGGCCGGTGGCAGGGTTTATCGGTCCAAAAAAGAAAACCAAGAAAAAGGCCTCCAAAAAAAGGAACAGGGGTAGCTTACCGAGGTTGAGGTTGAGGTTGAGGTTGTTGTTGATGACGATGATGACGAAGTGGTTGTTGAGCTTGTTGAACCACCGGCTGTGCTAGTCACATCGTTGTTGGGAATTTTCACGTAGGCGAACACCCCTTTGGATGCACTTCCACAACTGTCTGAGGGATAACCAGGACAGGAAGCATTACAATCAGAGGTATCGGATTGTGATCCCTTAGATGGAGCAACGTTTGAGCACCAGCATTTCTTCCCTTGTAAGATACCTAGAGCGTAATTGGCGCAAGTAGTTATACATGCTCCATTTGATTGAAATATGTCGGAGACTGTGAAGAGTCAGTGATATGACTAAATCTTTAAAAGTTTGCGATGACTTACCTTCTTTGAAGGAAGACCCTGTGTTGACCGAAGCACAGAACTCGAGGCTAGATTCAGCTGACGCGAATGGCTCAGCCAGGAGAGCAAAAACCGAGACCACCACCGCGACCTTCATGGTGGGTGTGCTCAGTCGATAATTTCTTGTGAAAGCCGATCGCCCGTTCTGGGTATTTGCAGCTTTCTTTTTGTCTCTACCAGGATCTGTCCAGTGTGAGGATAGCGACGGTAGGAAGTTGGCAGGCGCAAGAGGGAAGATTGAAATTGGCTGTGTGGGCCGACCGATGTGAATTGTCGATCACCGATCAGAGTGCGGTAATGTCTGGACAAAGAACTCGATATGTCGATGTGAAGCCGATCGAAAAGGCCCCAATTGTTATTTGTTGATCCCCCACTAAACACTAAAAAGGTCGTAAGATTGTCCCGTGTCAATGACACATTATTTCTGAAGGTCTCCGAGGCTAAAGGGCTAGGTAACAAAATAACAAGAAAAGAAAGTGAAAATGCAAAGTCGAGTGTACACAGGAGAGAGAGGGAAAAGAAGAAGAAGAGGAGAAGGGGGATCTCCACTGTCACGGGCAATCCTACTAATCCTGTTATCCTAATCCTATCCTCATCGGAGTATGTCGAGCCTCTCCCGGCATACCCGGTGGAGACTGGTTTTCCTTTTTTTTATTTTGTGTGGGATTTACATATCAAAGAAATAGTAGTTTATTTACTTTGTACAGCTCTCTTAGGTATTGTTTTTCAGGCCCTTTTGGCGCTTTATAGTAGGTTATCTTGTTATCTCTGGTGAAGTGAGAGCCTATAAAAAGTGATATTATAATCTTATACACATAACTCATCACACCGGACATAAGTGATAAAACAAGCCCCTAACACACCTAACACACCTAACACGGTATTTTATTGACTTTTTTTTCTAGATCTATCGACTCCACTGGAATTGCCCGACTGGCAGACCGGATATCGACCTACCAAGGAAACATTCCACCCTTCATACCTCTGTTTTTACTTCTTTTTTACGTTGTAGACGGAGTAGAGAGAATACAAAAGGAGTAATATCAAACTTCCATCCTGGTCAATTTATTTATCTTTATCCGAAACAGTTGTCCAAGAGATCGCCAATGCATTATGACCGGGGTTATACTCCGTACCTATAGCATAATTCTAGACATACGTAATTGGGTGGAGAGAAAATGAACAATGTTCGCTTGAGTTCACCTTTTGTGTACTTTGTACTTTGTATACAACATTATTAGTTTTGAATTATTTAGAACTAAGTACGGAGTACAAAGTATATAAAGACAGCTCTAAACGAGTTACTCAGTTGTTGTAGGTTCTTTCGGGAATAGATCCAAGTGTGTGGCACTAAATCTCTCTCCATAATAATTGTTCAGCTTAGCCACAATGCAGCCACTTATGTACAACACCCAGACCGAGATTGACCAGCCTTATACCATTACCTATAAAATGGCCACCTGTTAACTTGGCAATTACTTTGTACAGGTGTGTCTAGGCCTTAAGGTAACACATAAAATTGTACATGTCACCCCAGGAATTGTACGGAGTACACCGAATAATCGTTCTCCATGCCCAGCCGCCAGAACCGACGATCGACTCGAGAGATCGCTGTGATTTGCCGGGTCGAAGCGAGGTCGTCTGGCATGAAACGCTGTGATTTACTGGCTATTATTAAGCACAGAGTACGGGGTAACTAACTAGAATGTGTTTTCTCTGTGTTGTAGGATGCACTTCGTACGTGGACTAACTCCAACATCTTAATCCGGTCTGGTACAACATAACCAACACACTGAGTACAACATTATATTATCCCCCCTTTTTTTTTCCTAAGGTTAATTCCTTTCCCGACTCGTCCAATATGAATCATCTGTGCCAAGTGGGGAATCTCCACTGTGTAAAAAAAGTAAACACACAAAGTACAAGGCCCATCTTGAAATTTCAAGTGCAAGTTACAATCAGTGTTATAACAGGCTCAAAGATTCAAGATTTCCCCGTAACACATATAGAATATACATAATCGGTTTAAACTCTTCAAAATAGTACTCCGTACCTGGACACTCTATTCTCCCAATGCAGAACTAAATAATACATATAATCAATAGTCCTTTAATAATCCATTTCGCAAACCAATATTCCAAGATATTAATATGGAGTAGGGAGTACGGAGGACAAAATGTGTCTACTACTACCGAAACTTGGACAAATGCCAAGGCAAGCCTCGGAGTGATGATGGTGTGGCCGTTAATATGGTCAAGTGGCTGAGACAAATCCACCACAGTGCGCGGGAAGGGGAAGCTAGCCCAGTACGACGTAATCTCTCGCAGGGGGCTTTCGGGTTCCGTGTTAGGGTTACTCCATCAGAGCTCTTCCTCTTACTTTGGTGGTTCTTGCAAGTCGATTCAAGATGAGGCGAGGCCAAGGGGGAAACTGATTCAATTATTGTTATTGTGCCTGGTGGCTTGCAGGTGGCGTCCTGCTTCTGAAACAAAGCTAGAGTGGTGATCACTTGCAGTCTGCATGAGGCATCCACGAACCATCTGTTGGAGATTTACATTTATGATTCGTTTGCGAGATTTGTTTTGGGAGACTGGTCAAGTCAGGTTTATGATACTTATTCGAAATTCAATTGAACATATTCATTCGAGGTGTTTCAGGATACATCTGACGTAAGAATAGAAACAGTCCATCAACCGGTCTGTGCTGTGTTCAGTACATACATGAAATGTGTTTCAATGTTGCGACTTACGCTCGTCATTTAATTGCCTTCGAAGTCAAGGGATAGATGGCCAGTTCCAGAGATCACATCAAGCATATCGGCTGAACTCTCTGCACCCGTTGAACCCACTGAGCCTGCCGAACCTGGTGATCCCGCTGATCTCGCAGAACCCCTCGAACCCTGGCTAACACTGCGCAGTCGGTCGGTGTTGGCCTCAAGTCCTGGAAGAGGGCCGATCATCGCTGCACCAATGTCCTCTACGAAGTCTGATTCGGGAGAGGAATCCGTTGAAATAGAAGATTTCACCCAAGCCAAAATTTCCTCTTCGTCTAGGTCGGAAGGCTGCTTTGATTGGGTAGTCACGTCTGATCTGTTGTCGTCTTCATCCTCATAATCATCTTCAAAGAAACTGGATGCGCCGGATAAGGCGAGCATTCGATTGAAATGCCACTGCATGTCCAGCAAGTCGAAGCTCGGAAGCGGTCGCTCGATGGGGTCATCCGTTGTCATCTTAAAGCGGTAGCCGGACACAATGGGGCGGTAAGTTGGTTCACCTCGCACTCCGGGAACCACAACCAGTTTATCCACGCTGTTGACGTTCTTGCTAGAGGGAGGCTGCTTGGTCAGCTCAACCACGTCGTAGACCTTGTGGTCTAGCTTGGGCTGCCAATAGAACTCAATTTCAATTTCGGTCTCCTCCTCATTGATCCAGGCGGGACGCAGGGCAAACAAACCAGATGTCCATGCAGACCGAAGGTCTCTCCGAAGGCAGATCAGGTTAGAGCAATCATTGACAGGGCTGTCGGGCTGGATTGGGTTGTTAAAAGCGGCCTTTCTCCATTTCTGGGTTGTGATCCGTCCCCAGAACATATCCGCGAATCTCCAAATGGTAGGAGAAGTCGGGTTATCCTGCAAGCGGGAGGTGACTAGGCCGGTTGGAAAGATTGGAACGGTTTGATAGATCTTGCGGGTGCCTGTGATGACACACTTCTTTCCATCTCGTTCTCTGGCGGCGTAGATTGCGACTGGGGAACTACGGTGCTTCGGCGGGCTGAAAACAGGAGGCGAGTATTCTGGATCTGCCTGTTGAAAGGGGGATGGTCTCAGCGTCCATTTGAATGGAAGACCACAAGTGAGGTCAGCCACAATATCCATCAATTTCAGTGAAAAGTAGGCCAGTTGTATGAGGTATTCAAGCTTGTCGAGGTCGCACAACTGGATAACGGCCCAGAATGGGGCGGGAACTGGTTGGTCTAGAAGAGCTTTCTTGAGCCGGCGAATGATGACCTTCCGCTGGGGGGACGGGATGTTAAACACCTCATCATTTACACGAACAACCGTCGGAGAACGATCTAGTTCCGGGGAACTTCCAGACGGTATGGTACCTGTAGATGCGTTTGACATCTTGATCACGTGGAAGCAGTTGGGATCAGAAAAGACGGTGAACGTTGTTAGAATCCGATGCTTTCCTGTGGACAGGTTGACGAGAGAAGAGCGTTTGTTTTGGTCTCCTGCTATTTAAATGTTCAGGTGGGAACCGCGTCCCATTGTCACTCGGGGAAGGAACTCGTGGAGTTCGTTCAATTGAGGATATCAAAATACATACAAAAACATCAACGGCACTTTCCAAGTTTGGGGCAAATGGAGATCATAAATTCATAGGTCATAAACATCGCATTCATAGCATTACCTCCGGGAGTCCATACATTCTCGATCTCGGATATCTCGCATGCGCTTCTCTATCACCCGTGCCCGCGGAGGCATTCCCACACGAGGTCGCATATGGGGCGTGATATCAGGGACGGAGGACCGCTCCCGCTGGATATCACGAATGCGTCTGCGGCGAGCACTTCGGATCTCATCGGACAATTCGATGAGCTCATCTATATCATCCTGTTGCCAAAACGAGTCAGGATCCAAGGAAGCAGTCTGTTCGGATGATACATACCGCCTTGAGGTACGAAAATATGTAATAGCACGTTCTCGTCTCTTCATACTCAAATCCCATACGTTCAATAGCTTCCCTCACTATCAACTTCTTCGATATTTCAGTCCACCGATCATTTCGTGTCTCCTTCGGCTCCGTGATCTTCTGGGCAACCCGTCCCACTTCCACTTCCACTTCCACTTCCACTTCCACTTCATCCACTGGTGCATAACGCGGTTTGACCTCAACGGCATCCAGAGCTCCGGTCATCTCAATGGCTTCCTCCTGGGACGGAGCATGCACCACAGACCAGTCGTCTATGCCTTTGGGGGCCGCGTCCACTATCTGGGCGCTCTCGATCATTATATCCTCTTCCACGTGACGCATGGAAGGGGCATGCCTTATTTCATGGCTGTAATCTAACTCGCTTTCGTCGTCTAGTGACTTGAGTCGACGGCGAGTTGCGGATATTCTTTCCCGCGCCCATGGGTCTTTGAAATCGAGGGCTGGGCCGCTAGTTGGAGATATTGAGTCTTCTGGAGTAAGAGATTCTTCACTGTCACTGTGCTTGAGCAGTATCTTTTCCTCTGAAACTCGTCCACCTCGCATTTTCCTAGATTAGCAGATGTTAGCGGGCAGCAAAGAAGAAGATTGATCTACTCACCGATGACGAATGTCAATCTCATCAAAACTACTTCTCTGGGACCGCAGTTCCGGACTGCGCACACGAGGTGTATGGGTGCCTTTAAACCCTGAGTTTTGTTAGAGTAATTTGTTTACTGAACTATCGACATCAGTCTTACCATGGTCAATGTGTCTATGGTGGGTAAACACTTCTTGGTGGATCGGAGGCACATGTATCGAATCCAAAGAAGGCGAAGGCGAAGGCTGGCGGGATGGGAGCTTTTCCTTTGTTTTCCGAATACTAATCTCTTCCCTCACCTCTTCAAGATCTCGGGAGCGTGACTTGGAGTTAAATTGCGTGCGCACCTTAAGCTCTTCATCCAGAGGGATTTTTTCCCTGACCTCTCGTCGAAGACCTCTTAATTCGCGTTCTAGATCCTCCGATGGTACACTGCGTCGTTTTTCACGTCTGTCGCGTATAAGGATTTCCTCCTCATCAACACGGTCGACTGGTTGTGGTGCTTTGTCCTTCCGTCGGATGACCACGTCTTCTTCAAATTCTCTGGCTGGAATATCGATTGGTCCTCGGCGTCGCTCTGGGAGCGCAGTGTCATGGAGAACTTCTTCCACCTCAACCTTTGGGGCCGGCGGAGCCCGCGGCTGTGGTCGATGATATTTTTCCTCTTCCTCAAACTCCAATCTCCTTCCACGTGATCGAATGTCAAGTTCGCTGTCCCATCCACGACGTAAAGGAGGTTCTTCCCTTTCTTTCCGCCGCATTACCATTTCCTCTTCCTCAAATTCGCGCTCTGAGCGGTGTCTTCTTCCTGCATGTTTTCCCCTCTCATCAACTAATATGTCCTCTTCAGATTCTCTTTCTGGACGTCTCCTGCGGTGGCGTTTTTCCTTTTCTATCTCCTCAAAGAGAAGATCATCCTCAGGCCTTCGTTCAGGGTGACGCCTGCTCCCCCTGTGTATTTCTCTGTCTTCAACAATCAATTTTTCCTCTTCGAATTCCCGAGGATGGCGCCTACTTCCGTGGCGTCTTTCCCGCTCGACGATGCGTTCATCGTCCTCCTCGAATTCTGGCTCTGGCCGACGCCTCCTACCACTCTCTCTTTCCCTTATTCTTTCCTCAAACACAAGATCCTCTTCTGGAGCTCGCTCTGGGCGGTGTCTTCTATCTCGACGTCTTTCCCTTTCGTCGATGAAAAGATCGTCTTCGACTTCTCGCTCCCGTTCAGGACGATGTCTCCTATCTCCACGCCTTTCTCTCTCCTCGAAAAGCAAATCCTCGTCAACTTCTCGCGGATGACGTCGACTGCCACGGCGTTTTTCTTGCTCTTCAAAAATAAACTCCTCCTCGTCTACTTCACGGGGACGAGGTCTGGGCCGGGACCTAGATGGCCGCATGTAGGCATCATCGCGGTCTAGAGGCATAGATCGCTCGGGTGGGACTATATCTACCTCCCGTGCTCGTGATGGAGTAAAGCTCTCTTCTATGAAGTCTCGCCTGGGACGTTCTCGAATATGCATACGCTCCATATCCTCGACTAGGGGCTCGGACGTCCGATGAAGATATTCATCTTCCGAGTAGTCGCGATCTCGTCGGCGCGGCCTGTGGCGTCGCTCGCGCTCTCGTTCCATTTCGTAGAGATCATCTTCCTCGTCGTAGTCGCGGGGTGGTGCTCGGCGGGACATTGTGGGAGTGTGCGGGTGATCACCGCATTGGATTTGGTGATCAATCGGCCTGTATCTACGGTCGGAATTATATCTGGACCACGATGAAAGGACTCTTAGATTAGAGGCTTCGACGCAGGAGCCTGTCGAAAGGCTCAGTTTGAGGCAACAGTTGAATTTGGTAGTTGGTGACTGGTGGGGCTTGCGAGAAAGAAAGGTGGGCTGTGCTCTAGTCGAAATCGCCCAGTTGGGCAGCTAATGATGGTACGACAAGTGAGGCAAATCAGGTAGGTCAAGAGTCGACAAATAGTACAGACCCATGCAATATATGGAAATGGAAATGTGGACCTCGCACAGTGTGACTTGGAGGGCTGAGGAGAAGTAAAGAAATGATCAACCCCGCGGCTGATGTCACTAGGTTCTCTTAGAAGGCGGATCTAAGGCGTGAACATCCCTCGTTCATCCAACCTTGGAAGACCTTCGTGTTTGTTTACTCAGTCGGTCCTATCTAGGTACCCCGGAATCTTAGCTAATCCTTCTACTAGAACCTTGATTCTCTTCTCTAAAACTGCCGTTTTGGGCTTGAAAACTGTGTTTGGGCGGGGTCTGTAATGCTTGGCGTCATCAAAGTACATACATGTACTTATGTTGTATAGAGGCAAATCCTTTGTCGAACATTAGTTCGAGCCTGATAATGCGCATTGTTGGGTACTTCTGCTCGGGTCTATAAGAAATTTGACTACGCACCTCCAGCTAGCTCGCCGAATTTAAGATTGTATGCACTTCTAAACACAAAGTAGACTGGTGTCTAAATATATATATCTTCACGCGTATGCTATGCGCTGTAGCAATGGCTAAAACCTACGAAATTACGAGGCAATTGATATTGGGCGATTAGGAGATAATATGATTCTGTTCAAGGCATTGGGTATCTTGTAGCTATACAGCATGAGAGAACAGAAGAGTATAGGGCTCATAGGTCACTGAAAAGCAAGTCGCATCTGCCCCTTTTCAGGCTTGCCTCGACCCCCTCCGCCTCGACCACTTCTTCCACGAGCAGATGTACCACGTGCATTACTTTTCGTGGGTGGTGGCGGCTGCGAAGCTTTTGCCTCCTCTCTGTCCTGGCTCGCAAGGTCCTTGGCAAAGTGCCAATCATCATGTTCTTCTTTTTCATACTCGATCATCGACTTAGAGCACCGTGGACAGACGAACTGAGGAATTCCACTCAGTTTGGGGTCCATTTCAGCAGGTTCTTGGGGACTGTCTCGCTCATCTGCACCAGTATCTTCAGGATGTGATGAATTTCCAAAGAAATTTTTAATTTTACTCCCCTCTCTATCAAGCTTTCGCCTTTTCTCGGTTGAGGCTTGTTCACTGGGGGAATCATCGGTATCTCGGGGCCTTGAAGAATGATTCAGAGCTTTTGCTTGATCACCGCGAATCAAGAAGCCCTCAATAGCTTTGTTATTGCTCACGCCGTCTTCAAAACTTGACACGCTCAAGGACAGGTTGGAGCAGGGCCATGCCTTTCCGTCAGCCACGACTTGACGAAGTAAAGTACTGGCTAGATCGTAGAGAAGGTTCTCGTCAATTGCGCTAGAACCTGGAATTGGGATTTGACGAGAACGAAATTGCGCAGTTCGATGGTGTATGGTAATCACTTTCGGACGACGTCTATTTTCAAGCACGCCGTCTTCCACAAGCCGGCCATATATATCGGCTGCGAAGATACGAAGCCACTTCTCGGCTTGGTCGACTGAGTTGATGCTCGGTCTGAAAGATTTCGCGGATAACATAGATTTAATTTGGGTTCGGGGGTTGACCTCGGTACGGTCATCACCACGAATAATCCCATAGAGCCAGGACGCCGTGTCGTCAGCCAGCTTAGTACGCAAGTGCTCAAGCGGTACGTTAAGAAGCTCGCTGACTTTCTCTGTCCCGAAGGCGGCAGTTATTTGATCGCCGAGTTTACCACCCAGCATTCTGATCTGAGTAAACTTATAACCATTTAGGAAATTCTGTACCCCCCGATTTCGCACAACAGTTTGTAGATTGGGCTTGTTGCAAGCACTTCCTAGTTTTGCGATCATCTTATTGCGGCCGAGCCCAGCGGAGCAGGTGTAGCTGAGCTTTTCCCAAACTGCGTTCCGCACCGATCGTACAATCTCGGATCCTATCAACATGACAACGTCGTCCCAGTCTGGATCATCTTCTTCTGTCTCATGCTGATCCAGGTCCACCAAGCAGTCGGTGTCCCACTGCAAGGCTGTAATTGGCGGTATAGGCAGTTGTGCATCTCGGTTCTCGTCTTGTGTTTCCATCTGAAGTTCTGGATATCTCTGAAGAAGCGCCCTATATATCAATGGAGACAAATCAATGAATACTTCATCAATACTGGCTTTCTCCAACACAGCCGAGAGATCTTGCTTCGGATTATGAGATTCGACTTCCGTGTCATCGGTACCCCATGTGGCCAAAGCCTCCTTCATGGTCTGGAGAATCTTTCGCGATTGCGCTCGGTACGGATCCAGTGACACCTTGTCTGTGCTGATGCTTCTGAAGGAATCATCCCGATATGCCCACCGTCCTCCCTCTCCCTCTCGAAAAGTCGCGACATGCTGTAAGACGAGGTCTGGACAAAGTTTTCTAGCCTCTGCGACATTAATCAATCGACTAACTCCGAAGGGTCGGGCGGCATAATTGATGGCAATCAAGGAATCCCATTGCCGTACTGCTAATGGTGTCTCCCGCGGAGTCCCCAGGCGGACCATTTCACATTGCGCATAGAAGGCATCTAAATCGATATGCGCAATCACGCGTAGAGGGGTTGCCGTGGATCCCTGTCGCAAACCTTGTAATTGTCGGTAGGTAAAACGGGAGACCTTCAAGGGATCGTACGACTCGGTGTGTTCGGACATGCTCGGACGTGCGTCATGACGGTGAACATCAAATCATTGGGGTTGGCGTCGAAGTCGGTCAGCTGGTCGGAAGCTTCGAATCTGATGCTTCAACCTTGGAACGAAAGCCCAAAATGGACTAGTGCGGTCCCATGTGATCTCTTCAGTCTTGGGTTGTTTGTTGTCCACCACTTCAATTCAACCTTTTGGAATTTCCCATTACATCTGATATGAATTTCCCATTACATCTGATATTGTACAAAGTACATATCAAGAGTTATTTCAATGTTCTTCTTAAATGGCTAGATAGGTCTAAAGTCAAACTGCAATTTACTTTCCTATATCCCACAGAGTTATAAACCAAGCATTTCCAAATGGGCCATCGCTTAGTGCCTGCTTTTTTTTTCTTCAACCACCCCTGCACTGTCAGATGTCGCGTTTCTTGTGCAGGCCGTTCTGCCGTTGTAACTCGCCCCCTGCAAGGTCTCGAACATGAAAAAAAAAAGAAAGGAGACAGGGTGATCTCCGATCTGTGCGATCCAGCTGACACAGGCGGGCTGTGAGTGGGCCAGAGGCTCGGAGTCTTCGCGCAAGTGCCCAAAGCCACGCATTCCTGCCCAACGGTCATCTCGTGTGGACATCGGTCTGCTTTCCAGGTGGCAAGTTTATAGGTTGCCACCGGTCTTTTCTGTCAACAGATTGGCTCCTTGCCTTGTCATGCTCATTTTGCAGATGATGAGGGATCAATCACAAGTTCTATGATTTGCCCCTAATCATTGCCCTCACTATACATATGAACATACAATTTTTGAATGATCTCATTTCCAACAGCTCTTGACCGCTGAAGATCCACTGGTGGAGTCCTGTACAAAGTAGAGTTTCGATATTAAACCGGTCCAGGGGCACAGACTAAGGAGTAATCCAAGCTGGTTGAGTATGGGGGATCGGCCCTTATTTTCTTTTTCAAAATCTAAGAGAAGCAACCTTTTTAGGTTCTAATCTTAGGGTACAAAAGTACATCTTTAAGTATTTACTTGTAATATCTGCCCAAGTATCTTTGCCCAGCCTTGGAGTTACATTTGCTTACATCTCCAACATTGGATGCCTCTTTGATCATGAGTGGAGTATATTCAACGTTATATTGGCACATGAGTCCGTAATAGTCATAAATCATAAAAGAAAGAAAAAAAAATTCAAGCGGCTACAGACATAGGGTTGCACATCAGCCTAATCCACATTTGACCATGCATGCTTTTGCCTTGATCTCAGTGGGGAGTCGTGGCACCAGCCCAAGACGGCCCAACCGCCCTGGCCCTTTGAAGTCCACTTTACCTCTTCCCCCCCCCCCTCTTCCTTTTTCCTTTCTTCCGTCTTTCTTTTTCCTTCTCTCCATAATTCTCTGGCTTCTCTCGCCAGCTCATTCTACTCCTTTCCCCCTCCCCCCCTCCCCCCCTTCAAAACTGGCAAATATCTGGTTCATCCCGAACGGAGTACAGACATCCCACAGGACCCCTCAGCCGTGTCTCTCTTTCTCCTAATTCTGACAACTCGTCCTCTGTTGACACCTTTCAACACCTTGTCACTATCCAACCACGTTTTGAGGACTTCTCAATTTCCCAGGATAATTGCCCAAGTGGACAACCAGCAAGGATTTCTACCTAGGATTAACCGGACTTTTTCCCACTAAGGACTTCTGCTATTCGCGACCAGGACTCTTTTCTGGCCATTTCCCAAGGATCGTATCTCGTTTTCCGCTTGCCCTGGAATCGAGAAAAGAAATCATCCAAGTCGTTGATTGTCGACTTTGGAACCTGCTCGTCGCCTGATAGAATCTGTACATCCTACAATAAAAACGGACTCACCACCGTCAACTTTCCCAGGACTCTGAAACCATCTACCACACTCCGGACTTCCTCTCTTCTGGCCCTTTGGATCCGAGGACTTTTAAAATTTTAAACCGGATATTTTTCCTCCCTCGGACATTATGACAGGCCGCTATGAAGGACGCCCGGAGCGTCAGAATGAATATTTCATCCCGGGTGACGGAATCAGCCGAGAGGTTATTCAAGCAGATATTTGTCGCTACCTTGGAAACGATGCCCTTGTGAGGCCTGGCAACCACAATGTTCGTCTTTCGCTCTTGACCCGATGACTCAACGCCGTTTTGGCTAACCATGAACAGGGCCGCCCAGGATTCTTCATCCGTGCCTATCGGAATCTCACCTCTGTAAGTGACTATAGACATGAGACAGAAAGCGGAATAAGTCGAGATGAAGTTCTAACCATACATCGGATATAGGAGATGATTACTGATCTGAAAGCTGACTCCGCTCGTTGGGAGGCGGACGTTTCACGCCGGGCTGACCTAGGCTACCCTCGGGGAAATTACATTCAAGACACAAATGTTTCCCATGCACCTAACACCGCTCAAGCGAACTATGCTCCTGCGCCCGTTCACGAGGTTCGCCAGTCACAGGGTCCATCCCCTACGCCTTTTACTGCAGCACCCGCTCAGTCGTACATGGATCCCTACTCCCAGAGCCCCTACAGTGCATCCCAGAATGCCCCCTACACCAACCCTTCATCATACACATCCGCCACTCATTCGCCATATGCATCAGGTACAGCCCCGTACCCCCCACCCCAGGTTTCCTACTCTGGTGCCTCTCAGCCCGTCGTGACGGCTGCGGACATGCACCCCCAATCGTATACATATGCCCCCACGGGCTATGGTTACGACAATGGCCGAAGCAATGCTCCCCGATACCCAGGACCTGGATATGATGCCGAACAGGAGTACTCTACCGTAACTTCCGGGATGTCCTATCCTACCACTACTGCCCCGGATCCCCGGATAGGAATGGAGCCCAGATACACTCCAGAGTATGAGCGCAGGCCACAAGCAACCAGAGACAACCCCCACCGTCGGCGGTAGATAAGAATGACCGCCCCCCCCCCAAGGGTTTTCCTACATCCATGATTTCTTCTCCATCTCCATCCACATTGTGGTCAACTTGGTGCTTTCTTCCTGGGATATTTCCAAAATGCCCCTAGGAATAGTATTGGTGTCTATGAAAATCTCCTGGACTATGTTTTCGCCCTCTTTTTCCCTCTCGGCCACAATTCTCAGATTCCCAATTTGTCTCTAGTCCAGGAATTTTAGACCAAGCCAAAGATGTTCAATGTTTCACATCCCACTGGCCTAGTCAGGAAGATTTTCCACTTCCCATTGGACATCAATCTCGCTTCTTTTTTTACCCATGGATTTCCACTGGAATCGACCCCAATCGATCGCTCTGTAGCAGGAGCTTGGACTTCCCGTGGACTTCCCTCTTTTTGATTTCTCTCCCATGCTTTTGTGCAACTGGCCAGCCAGAAGTAGGAGTGATGTGTCTTGAGTTTACGAAAAGGCGGTCCGGACTTGAGCGTTTTTGTTTTCCTTTTTTGGTCTCACGGATTCCGGGAATATTCACCCACGATAATGTGAATTTTTTTTTTTTTTTTCTTGATTTTAACGGTGTACAGGATTTATGTGTTCTTAGCAACTTTTTTCTTTTTTTGTTTCACTTTTCCCTTGAGAGGAGGGAGGTCATCGTGTTCTACTTTTTTTTTTGCCCTTCGGTTTGCGAGAGCGTTGTGCTTCGATAAACTAAGGTTGGTGGTCTACATGTAGATGTGAGCATTTGCGGCGTTGGTCCGTCTTCTGTGATTGACGTTTTGATGTGCAAGATCGTGGATTGACTCCATGATTTTAATGAAACTCTTGCTCTACATAATTTCTTACCACAAATGAATCAAGATATCATATCACTTAGAAATTACTGACGTTGTTGTCCGACAAGGCTTCGGAGTGTAATAAAAATTCTGCCATTGGTCAGATTCTACAGGTACTAGATATGGCGAGCAGCTTGTTTCTATTGTGCGAAGGCCATATCGGGCCGTTCGTGTGCAAGAATGCAATTATTCCAAACATAGCCAAGTTACTTGAAACATAGAAAAGCGACCTGGTGTCGATTATATGATTGCACAAAACATAGTACATACACTGTAGCACCGGGCTCAACATTCGGCGTATGCGCAACAAATATTGGTATCAAAGCATTTTGATGGCCAGGAGAAGTTGCCCGGAACAAGTCTTTTCGATTGCCCACAATGATACGATGGGACTTGTTGATCAGTCCAGTGGCACAGCCAACTCATCTCCTGTCATCCGCTGAATTTATTCCTCCCAGGCTCGGAAAAGACACGAAATTCTCCCTAACTTCCGATAACTTGACATTTTCGTAGTTCAGAACCCGTTTATTCGTCATCGTAGCCCTTGGGGATCACGCGCGGACCCTGCGGAACTGTACATATTAAAGATATTGGTTAGATTCAAATTACTTGAATATAGCTTTGATGCTCATGCACCGATTTGTAGGAATTGAATGGGTTCATACTGGGATATGTAAGAGGAATGGGCTCGGGGTCGACGTCACCGAGGGCGCGGCGGATGGGGGGAATAGTGACCAGGGCAACAGGACCCATGGCGCCAATGCACAGAGCAGCGAGGATAGCTGGCTTCTCGTGCGCAGCCCAGCGGATATAGCGTAGGGGAGTCGACCAGAACTGAGGGGTAGACATGGCTGTAGGAAGAGGTCGTTGACGACCGGTCGGGGTTTTTTGCGATGTAGGTGGGAGGTCAATGCCTGAGTAATAGAATAACACTGTTCAAGCGCACAATGAACAGATACACCGGTCCCACTTGGTGGTTGTTGAGTGGAAGGGAATAGAGAAGCAAAATTGAAGCCGTAGGGACGAAGTGAAGTCGAAGTTCGGAGATGCGGACCCAGCGCTCTCAGGTCTTGGCACTCGCCCATTAAACACGTCGCCCTTTCTGGCTATCTATACAACTTGGATCTTCAACCACCTTCCTTTTACTTACTTCTTTTTGATCTCTCCGCTCCGCTGTGCGGAATTTGCTCAAAATGAGGTGGTGTCTTGCGTTGCTTATTTGTTGCTTCTTGGCTGTGGTAAATGCG